ACAGAGACTAGGGACTGAGAGCCATTGGACACAGTGGAATTTACATCTGAGTAAATATGCATAGGATTTCCCTGCATGAGACCAAATCAAACCCAGCCCTGTTATGTCTATTAATTTCAATGGATAAGTTAAACAAATTTTCAAGTGTGAAACAGATTCATTATTTTGAACAAGAACTTGGGAGTAGAAACAATAATCTAAGAGTTGGAAATAAAAAAAAATGTGTTTCCCCCCAGAAATGTGTTGCCATGGTAGTTAATTTATTTGTATTTTCCCCAAGCTTTTCTCCCCTTTTCACTTTTGGCAATATATTATGCACTCTGCACTTCTTTCATAATGGCTTAAGTAATTACTTTCCCTGTGTTGTCATTGTTAAAATATCAAAGCATTATTTACAATACTCACTTGGAACACAAATTGTAAAAAGCATTTAGACCTTGGAGGAGAAATGGGTGCAGATTCACTTTAGAAGCCTAAACTGCCATGCAATTATCCGAAGTACAGAGACGAGCTTTTAGCTTTCTATCTTTTTCTAATGCTGCTTTTTGGAAGGGGTACTCAAGAAGTTTGTGATTATTTTTTTAAAAAAATGAAATTCAGTGAAAACATAAACAACAAACATTAAAATGTGTGTGGGCTTGTTTTTTTAAAAAAAACTGAGAACAATCTCAGATGTCCCCTCAGAAAAATTGCTTGTGTCAGGATCCAGATGTATAATGTTTTAAATGTGCAAATAAATGCCTCTGAAGAACAAGGAACAAAATGGTAAGATGGGTAGATAATCCTCCTAATCGCTTACCTGAAATCCATAGCCCCAACAAACAGAACTTACTGCAAGAGATGTCCTTTCACAAAGGTAACTGTCATATCCATCGCTTCATCCACTTTTTGCCTCTTGCCCCACCCACCTGCATACAGTTCCACTGGGCTTGCCCATCAGCTCCATCCCTGCTTCCTTTGTAATTAGTTATTTCCTATTCATTTGCATGTCGAGGGCATTCCTGAACTAGCCTCTAATTAGTTGCTGTGTGTGCTGTGTAGGAAATGGGAGAACCTATCAATTTTTGTCCTCTCTGTTTCTCATTTTCCAAAACTGAAATTAAGCTCTCCAAATTTATTCAGCAATTTGCAAATTTCTTTTTACAGGTCCTCTTGAAATTGCTGTGGCCGGTTACTCCTAATAAACACACGTTTGCATGGATGTTTCTGCATGTTATTTTTGCTAATATACAGACATTTGTCCACACCTTCAATCCTCTGCATCCCCCGTTGACAAGATCTTGGGTGGTAAAGACAGAGCGGCGAAATCCTTTTGGAGAACATCTGACAGCCGGAACAGACATCCTGGGCTAGATAATATTCTGACCTGGTGTGAGGCACTTCCATATGTTTACATTTCAGGTGGATATGGCACAACAAGGGTGAAGAACCATTTTTAGCCCACAAGCTGAATTCCTATGTGGACAATCTCCCAAGTGTCACATGGGTATGGGTCAGAGCTAAAACTGGGTGGGACAATGAATGCAAACATTACCTTTGTAGGCTACTTTCTACAGACACTCTCTCACACGCCTCTGTCCAGACAAGCAGGAGGCATTCTGAGAGCTGAAGGACACATTCATTTCTGCTAGGCAAAAGCATTCAGAGTACAAAGCAGCGTCAGTTAGAGGGTGGGTGCTGCAGAGAGATCCAAAGGTGTGAGAAGCATGGAAGGCTTCATTTGGTCCCCACCCCTGTGGCAGAAAATGATTTGAAGTTGCTTCTTGTAGTTCCCTCTCTAGCTCAAGCCAGGAGGCTGCATATTATGTATTGTACACCATTCTGAGGCCCTTATTGCAGTGGTGATGGGGCAGAACAAACAGGTAGCAAATGAATATATGCAAGCACACAGGAACATACAATGGTAAAAGACTAAATGGTAATTGTAATACTGTAGCAATGAGAACATGTCGCTTGCTAGCATCACAGGGAGAGCATACACCAGGGCTGTATCCAACTTTTGCACCTATTCACTGCCAGACCAATATTTTAAGGGCAGCATGCCAGCTTTAATTTTTCATTATGGTAATGTCTACTAATTGTCCCATATCCCATTTGCAAAGTTAATGCAAGAGTTGGAACGCAGGAGAGTCTTTGCTATTTTTAGGTTGTGGATTACGTAATTTCATTGCTATGCAATATCCCTAAGTGCAATTTGGTAGCAGTTAGCATCCTTGACACTTCACAGGGGTTTACACAGAGATGAATCACTTATCTATCCGTCAGAGGTTCTGTGGAAAAGTGAATCATCTAATAGGAACCCCAAATTCTGTTGTCAATGAAATCCTTTTGAAACTTAAAGGGACTTTTGAGATCACATGTTTGGAAGGGGTGCTAGGAAAATAGGGAAGTGAGAACTTCCTGAGATTCTGCAGGAGATGGGTTGTGAAGGGCAGTTGCACTCCTATTGTCTTTTAAACACCAGTCTTCCTTTGGAATGCAATAGGGAAATTTAGATTATTCAGGCAGATAAAAGAGAGGGGGGAACTTCCTTTCTTGCTGAGCCTTGCATTGCTTCTAAACATGGTTTTAATGGTTTGTTTTTTTTAAAAAGCAAACTGAGTTAAAGTAACCAACCACCACCACCAACCCCAGATAAAGGAAGTTAAGTTTAACAGTAATTCCCTTCAATCAATATATAGTGATGGTACCATAATTCTTTATTCAGTAGATTTAAGAAATGGGAGGTATTTCCCTCCCAGGTATTAATACATGTATCTGAACTTTCTTCATTCTTCGTTTCAACTGTCTGACAGGTGAGTTTGTGCCTTATCTCTCAAACTTTGTTTGTCCACACACACTATACAAGGCATGATGTTTTGATTTGAAAGCCTGTGTTATTTTTAACTGCTAAAAGCAGAAGCAAAATAAATAAAATAATAATAATTTTCATACTTTAGTGGGCTGAGCAATTGTTATCCAAAATGTGTAAGAGAATTGATTCAGGATATTTTTCTACAGCGCAATGGAAAGCTTTGTCACATTTGGGTAGTAGTGCTATGAGTTTGTGTGTGTAGTGGTGGGCAGGCTGTATGACTGAACTCCCTTCTAATTCCTTGATCCAGCACAGATTCAATCCAGGGAATAACCAGGTTAGCTTCTTGGTAATGGCCCATGGGCCGTTAAGGTAACAAAGGAAGTGGATTGGCTCCAGAGATCAACTGGTGCCCCCCCTCCCTCAACTCATTGGTAGTCAGAAAGACAAAGGCCAGAGATAAGAGTCTGTGTGAGAGAGGCAGAAGCTGGAAGCAAAGCTGCAAGCTGGGCAGCTGAGAGACAGAGCCATGCTTGATTTCTGCTGGAATCAAAGGATGTGGCTATGAGAGAAACAAGACCCTCTGCTGCTGTGAACCCCTCCAGCATAGGCTTAGGTTGTAAATAAACCATATCTCACAAACACACCACAATCTCCACTGGCCTCATTCCATTGGAAACACAAACCCTGGGTTTAAGTGCCTAGAACCCCTGGAATCTTGCACTGCTCAGAGATTAGGGTGGCGTCCAACAGTATCAATACATTTTCCAGAAGCTTGAACTACAGAACAATCACACCAAGCACCAGTCCATCCCAGTCACAAGGTGTGAAATGGGGAGTAGGGACAAGCTTCTTCCTGTGAATGCATTCAGAAGATCTTTATCTTTAACGAAGCTTGGCATGATAGGAAAGTGTGCTTCTGAGCATCTGCAAAGTGCCCTTTAGTACATCGTAACCGCAGCTGGAGACGGTAACGCTGAGGGGATAGAGAGCAGAAATCTCTTGGAGCCCCAGCACCCTTTCTTCTGGAATCTAAGCCCCAGCAGCAGAGAGAGCTTCCTTGCTCCATTAGACTTGACACCAGGAATAACTTTCTGACAGTAGGAGCTGTTCCAACAGTGCAGTGGACTCCCTTGGGAGGTTCTGGACTCTCCTTCCTTGCAGGTTTTTAAGCAGAGGTTGGATGGCCATCTGTCTTGGATACTTTCGCTGAGAATCCTGCATTGCAGGGGGGTTGGACTAGATGGCCCTTGAGGGTCCCTTGCCACTCTCTAATTCTATTATCCTTCTGTCCACCCCAAGTGCCCGTGTATCTCTGGTCTGGAAATGGCAGTCAAGGAAGTAGGGGGGCACCAGAAGCGCGTCAGGGCCCCGCCAACGCCACGCAACGCCGCTCAGGGCAGGAGGAAAACAAGAGCACGTTTACGGGCAAGAGGCAAGTCACGCCCCCGGCGGCCCCTCAGCCAATCGGAAACGAGGGAGAGCCGAGGGAGAGCCAGTGGGACGCCGAGAGAGGGCAGGCTAAGTAAACAAGCAGCCGGTACCCAGAGAGGCCCCGCCTCCTCTCTCTCTCTCGTGCTTCCCTCTTTCTTTTAGGTGCTGCTTCCAGTCGATCTTGCCCCAGCCGCGACGCCTCGCTCTCAGGCTGCTGCAGTTGCTCTGGATCTCCTCCTCTCTCCTTTTTTTTTGCGGTTTGTTTTGTGTGTGCTTCTCCTCCTGCTGCTGATCTTTTCTCCTGCGCTGGTTGCAGCCTCCGGGGGCACATGGCATGCCTGATGGCCGCTTTCTCAGTGGGCACCGCTTTGGTAAGTTGGGCGCCCCTTTGCTTCCGTAGGAGTGGGACAAGCACAGCTGCGCAGAGCGATCTTGACCCTGCGCCCCTTCCCTGGCCATGACAGGACCCTTGACTTGCTTGCATCTGCTCTGAATGACCCATGGACAAGACGGGGAGAGTCGTGTGTGTGTGTGTGTGTGTGTGAAGGCAAGGAGGTGGAATCGGAGAACCTGAGCTTAGTATGCGACTTTGAAGGGACAGCACCCCCCCCCCAAATCCCCCATACTTGAACTGTTACAGTATGTCTGTCTGTGACGTCGCTCCCGCCTTGGGGGCTGGTGGCTTGCTCTATGTGTTGTTGTGTGTTGTGTTGAAAACAAACGAAACGGGGGCCAAGAGCAACCCATTAAACGTAGCCCAGCTGTTGGCCGGCTCCTCCTAGGCAGAAACGCTTAAAGAGCGAAGGAGATAATACCCAGCGGGTCAAAAGCGACGAGTTAATTCATTACAGCTAGAGCGGAGGGGGCGGGGGGACGAGGAGGAGGAAGGACACTTCTGCAAAAGTGACCCAGAGCCGGCGCTAAAGCTGGGTCAGTGGTTGCCTCTTTTAATCGGAGCTTTGCTGGGGTGGATCAACCCTCGCTTTAATTAGTTGCGTGTTGATCCACCGAATGGGAAGGAAAAGGGGACCTGGAGTTTGGTTTCTCAGGAATTAACCAATCTTGATTGGCAGCTTCAGCATTTCCTTTGCTTTGGTAAGAAATCTCTCTGTTGTTTTATTTCTTTCCGTTTCGAATGGATGCCTCTGGTGGGGTTTATTTCTATATTTATAGACAGTTGACCTGCGGAGGTTGTTTTTTGTATAGCGTGGCAACTTACTTGTATGCATCTTTCCCCGCAAGCTTCAATGACAATTTCTCTTCCCTTTGGGGGCTGTTAGTTGCTGTGGCTTCAATGTTGTCATCTTGCAGGTACAGGCTGGTTAGAACTGCGGGGTTTATTTTGTTTTTGTCATGTACATCATTCTGGATTTGAAGTCATCTGGGTTTGACCGAAAGTTACCTCTCCGCCTCGAGCTTATAAAAAAAGATGGAGCTGGAGGAGGGGAGGGGGGAAATGAGATGGGTTTTCTGAGCATGCTCAGACTTTTCGCGACTGCATCCTATGATTTGGAAACAGATTTACTGAGGCACAGATAACCTTTCCAGCTCATTATATAATGGATTTTGTGTAAACTTGGAGCCAAATAGTGGGTTTTCTCAAAAGTAAGTTTCATGGGTGAAGGATGCCGCCGTCAGTGTCCTTCTTTTTTTGCAAGGGAACGCAACAAATTTATTTCTCAGCTTCTGGTTGTGTAACATGATGTAATTAAAAATCTTCAAAAGTGAAATGGGAATGTAGAACCCCACAGGAAAATGATGCAGCTTTACAGCAGAGGAAATAGGTTACATAAACTGGATTCCAGAACCTAAGTCTGCTGCAAGGCATCTGTACTAGACATACATTATTTGTAATTTGTTGTAAATATTAATTGTTATAAAATATTAAGTGACTTGGCTCATTCAGAAAGAGAAGCGTATCTGAGATTGAGGTATTTGTTTTCCTCTATGCATTTCTGCTCTCCACCAAATTATAAACTAGGACAGTCTTGAATCTTACCGGGATAAGATCAACTATTATTTCAAATCATGTGATGCCATTTCTCATCTTACCGAATTCCCAAAAAGTTGGCAGTGGTGGGAAGATGTTTGCTCGCAGGAAATAATCCCCACACAGGAAGAATCCCCGAAGTCAACTTCATCATCTGACATTTTAAAATCTCAGGTCTGGTGTTTATCTTGACTATTGGGAGACCTCGGGGTCTCAGATTTCGGTGGTGCCCTGTGCAACACCAAATTTGGGTGTACACCCCCCCCCCGCCTTCCATTCTACATCATAGTTGCATTGCCCCCCCCAAAGCTCAACACCCTGTGTGACTGAACCGCTTGCGCTCCCCTAAATCCGCCTCTGTCTTGGCCCCTTGCATATCTTTTTGTACCACAATGCCTGATGAACATGTAAACAAGAGAAAATATCAAAAGTGTCTTGAGTGTGTGAATTCTCAATACTTTTAAAGCAAGTCTCTTGAAATCAGGGCTTGGACATTGAGGGTGAATGGAGCCCTGTCCAGCTAACCTCAGCCAGCCACCATCTGCCTGCTTTCTTATGTACATCAGTCCAGGGGATAGTACAAGCTGTTTGCTTCTTCCTCCTTCGTCTCAGTGTTGCCATTGTGGAACATAGTAGAGAGGAGGATGGGAGAAAACTACAATCAGCTGTCTCTGTGTCATCCTCTCCGGCTCCTCGTCTTCTGCACTACCAGTTCCAGTGGTCATCACTCACCACCTCTTGAAGCTACACCATGCAGAGTATTCAAACACTATGGCACCCAATTTTTTGCATCGTGCTGCGAAGTCCATACCTTTTAAAGCCAGTTGTAGGAGTAGCACTAGGTGGATTTCCTTACCAGAACTACTACCTTTGCCCCACCAGCTGGCATCGTGTGCTTTACTTGTTAATGTTTGTCCACACGAATGTAGCACAGGAATCCCCTGGGCTGCTTGGGAAGAGGAAGAACATGTTGTGTGAGCCACTTCTTATCGCATAGCTTCTCAGGGGCGGGGGAGTGGTTAATGTAGTCATCGTTGGGTTGCCCTAGTCAAATATTGGAGTGTGAACATTTATTCCTATATGCTGTTTTATCATGCAATTGTGTAGATCAGCCTTTTCTAGCCTGGTGCCTTCTAGTTATTTTGGACTACAACTCCCATCAGCCCCACCTAGCATGTGCTGATGGGAGTTGTAGTTCAAAACATCTGGAGGGCAGAAGGCTGGTGAAGATGTAACATGAACAGAGCTGAACCTAGGCTTGTTTCTGCTTCTTCTTTGAACAAATGACTAGCAGATGCATTTTCCTGTGTGGAAACTATTTTCTCCCTTCTTGTATTCCAGAATGCCAGCAATTCTGCATCTGCTATGCCTGAACCAAAGTCTGTATGCGTTTCAGTAGATGAAGTGGTCTCCAATGGAACCGACACCCAAGAAGTCCACCTACTCAATGGCCATTTAAAAAAGGTGGACAATGCATTGACAGAAGCCCATCGCTTCTCCTACCTTCCGCGGAGACCGGCTGTGAACATTGAGTTTAAAGAACTCTCTTACTCGATCCAAGAAGGACCATGGTGGAGGAAGAAGGGTAAGTCTGTGAGAAAATTTCCTGTTCTGTTCTTGTTGGAAGGGAAGCAAGTGTTCTCATCCTGACACGGCTCTGAAGGGGAACAATGGAAATTAGATGATAGCAAAGGCAGTCAGTGATATGTCCTGAAGTTAAAGGTTTCTATTTTTGTCTTGCTGAGGCATTGCGATAATCTTCTGCTGTAGTCAGGCTTGCTTTCTTGTTTGTCTACACGGACTTAATGTATACTAAATATAAATGATTTTTTAAAAAGGGCTAATGGGCAAGTTGTGCCCCTCTTCTTGGTTGTCAGTATGACAAGCACTGCCCTCAGTGTCTCGCTGAATATTGGGTTCAGTTTCTAGAGGAGCTAAGCTCATTGTCCACCTTTGGTGGTGAATCTTGCCAAGAGAGAAGTCATTATGCATTGGATTCCTTTGGTTAGTTGTGAAAGGGGGCTTGAAGAAGGAGAAACAAGAAGACAAAGGAAATTGCACAATCAGAAGGCTCAATAAATTGGGATGGATCCTTTGATAAAGGATGGATTGAATTTAGATGGTCACCACTTCCAAATAAGTCCTTGTTCATAGAATTGTGGAGTTGGAAGGGATCCAAGGGTCATCTAGTCCAACCCCTTGCAATGCAGGAATTTCAGCTAAAGCATCCGTCCCAGATTGCCATCTAACCTTTGGTTAAAAACCTCCAAGGAAGGAGGTGCCTTAGCAGAGCCTGCCCTATCATCACCACCATCACATTTATTTATACTTCACTAGGAAGTTCCATGGTGGGTTACAACAATTTACAATTTAGTATTAAAAACAGTTAAAACTAAATTACAATTTTAGGAACAGGGTGGCTACTGAACAGAAACGTCTCAAGTGGCAAAGGTCGGGGTAAAGAGGTGCATCTTCAGCAGTCACCAAAAGTTGTATTGTAGGAAAGGAGGCAGCCTCTCAGAAATTTGTGGCCCAAGTCACTTTAGGGCTTTAAACACTAGTGTGAGCATCTTTTAATTGGGCCCAGAAACAAACTGGCAGCCACTGTAGCTGTTCTATATGAGTGCTATATGCGGGGGTATATGAGTGCTAAAGGCAACCCCAGCTAATAATCTGGCCACTGCATTTTTGACCAGTTGAAGTTTCTGAGTCAACAAGGGCAACTCCATGTGTTGAGCACATTGCACTGATCTAAACTGGAAGCTGACAGAACATGAAGGTACCATGGCACATTAGTACACATTAGGCAGAGACAGCTGTCTTAGGCACCAGAAGCTCAGGGCAGCAAGTGATGGTGAGATGTTGGAGGTATTGAAGCTGGCCAAGCCAACTGTTTGCCTTCATGTGTGTTGGAGGGTGCTATCTCTTCGTGAGTGATTCATCTGTCAGTCCAGTTGGCAGGGGAAGGGGGATGCCATCTTGCTTGCTTTGAACAGCAAAATGCCTTACTGAGCTGTAGTTCCAACAATGTGAAATGTTTGATGTTGTTTTAAAGGAATTAATATGCATCTTAGATAGCATAACACTCCTTGGCCTTCAGAGAGACTGTAGTGTGTGTTTCTATGCCCAAACTGCTTACTCCTGAATAAATCTAATGAAGTCAAGGGCAAACATATATTGGTTCTCTTGGTTGTCTTCAGTGTGCTGATTCTCTGCAAAGCCTATAGGTTCAGCACGTGCAATAGGTCCTCATGTCTCCAAATTCAAGCCAAACATGTCAAACATGAGACTTTTCTTGGATCAAATGAGACTCCTGTGTTTGTTTCAAGTTCCTTTCTCAATAAAGGAATCAAGAAAACCTAAACATCACAGGGTTTACATAGTTCCTGAGCTGTGTGGATGGATTTATTACTCCATAGCGGTGTGGCAGGATGCAGTGCAAAATGAACCACAGTAGTCTGTATAAGGCAACTTTCTATGTTCCTAAGTTCATTTCATGTGCTTTTACTGGTGGAGGACCATTCTTTATTCAATTTTAAACACTGTCATCAGAAAAACTCTAATGAATCTGATTCATAATTTGGGGGGAAGATTTTATTTTATTGTATCTTTTTATATATAAAATGGCTAGTGTTCATATCTGCTGAAATGATAAAATTGGGGGCAACTTGTACTTAAATGTGAGGGGAAACAAAGGCTCACAGATGAGTATGATAAATAAAACAGCTGTCTCCCAACCAGAAACGGGTCTTGTGAACCAGGAGGAAAGAAAGAAATAGTATCTGAGCCCAACTGTGAATGACTGAGTGCTACTACTAGTTATATAACCTAACTGAATGTGTTTATTGCTGTGACAAACAAACAGACCCCAGAAATGTAAAGTTGTAAGTCATAAGGCTTAGCTGTGCTATTTCAGAAATAAAATATAAATATTTTGCTCATTACTTGCCATGTTTCTCTGAATGGAATGAGCTATGATCTGCATTAGGGCCTGATAACCTATAGAAATGTTACATTTGTCTATAACTGCTGCACTTTAAGTATTGTTTAAATATCATCTAATAATGTCACATTTGTGAAGATTTGTTTTAAGAAGAAGGTTGTTGCAGTCTATAAAATAGCCCAAACCCCCAATAAACTAGTAATGTCTTCTTAATTTGGGGACTTTGCAGTTCTGTGGAGGTGTCTGACAAAGCTTCTAGCGAAAGATCAACAGGACTTGTAATCTGGCTTTAACACCCGGAAGGCACTCAGGGACAGGGAGTTCTTATCAAAGTTGCCCAGAGCACTTTTTTTCTTTCTTACTATGACCAAGTTTATGAAGAAAACTTCTTCAGACTATTGGAAAAAAACAGTGTTGATTGTTTAAAAAGTCTTTTTGTGCTGACTGTGACTTTTCCTTTCTTCAGTCTATGCAAAACTAAAATCCCATCAGAAGATCAGTTCTGGCTTGGGGTAATACTGACTCAAAACACTCCCTTAATTAGAGCATGGACAGAGGAGCATTTTCTGCTTGATCCATAACCTAGAACCCACAACAATGGATATAATAGTTTGGGCCCAGATCCAGGGTGCTCCCTCTGCATACAACAAAGATGGAGGAGCACTGTCCCATCTGTTCCGTAATTCAAGATCTGTAGTAAGTTACATGACTTATAACAACATTGACTTGTGTGCTAGTATTTTGTCAACACAGAATGAAAAATGCTGTCAGTCAGAATGATAACATTTGGCAGATACCATTATGGTTTTCTGCAAGCACCAACAGCAGAATAAGTCAAATATACACTTAGTTTGAAGTCTTGTTTTCTTCAAGTGACGTGTGTCCTCCATGAAAGGACTAGAGGACGTATGTGGGATTCCCAGCAGCAAATACTTCCGAAGAGAAAATTACCCAAGAGAGAAATGCAGCTCTTGAGGCTGGTGTCACATGTTTTAATGAAGTAATTACAGTTCCACATGGGATTGTCTTCTATTGTCTAAACTGGCATGACTGCATGTTGCCAATTGTGTTACCTTTGACTTGATCTATTTTAGATGTGTAATTACCAATGTTTGTTTGAATGTGCACAGAAAATTCTGCCCTTGATTCACCAACTGCTACTTTGTGGGAAAATAAAAGTAGAAAGTCTTCTAGTTTGTTTTAAGTACTGTTCCCCGCCCCCTTTCCCACACACAGCTAGTTAAGAGAAACTCAGCATGCTGGATGAATTGTTTAGTGTGTCCAGACCCTCCAAGTGTCCCTATTTTCCAGGGATGTCCCTGATTTAGTGAGGCCGTCCTGGTTTTTCATTTGATTGTGGATTCTCCCTCTTTTACTTAGGATGTCCCTGTTTTCATTGGGGAAATGTTGGAGCCCTACCTATTGCCACCCCATCACCACACTTACCTGACCTGGGGGTTCTGGATTGTGGGCTCTACTAGTCAAAACAGGAACATCAGTGATCGCCCTCTCACACCAGAAACAAACCAGGACTGCTCCAATAATACACACGTGGCAAAAAGGAGCACTTGGCCCTGGCGAGCCACTCCCTTACCCTCTTGTGATTGGCCAAGTGGATAGCCAGCTGATCAGGGATTTTTTTAAACAAAATTGACCCCCCCCTTCACTTCTCACTTCCCTCTGTGGTCCCCTAGCCTCAAGCTGTTGCCCTCCCATTAATGCAATTTTCACCTGTCGCCCCCTTAGAATATCTTGGGGGGCCGCCGGTTGGAAAACACTTCTCTAAACTACTTCAAATATGAAACTAGATACCCAAATGAATATTTAATGTCCAAGCTTCACGTTTTGAAAAATAGCTGTTTTCTTAAAATCTGATTTGCATTGAGAGAGAAAATATATGACCATGTTTGCACCTACCCTGCTCAATTCTTTGCCAGAGGATGGGACGGATTTCTTTATTTATTACAGATTTCTCGGAAAGAAGTGCATTGATACAAACTGGTTCTTGAATTTCAGAATGCATTGTCTTCCTGTCAACTGCAGTACATTTTTAACTGCCCGAATCTAGACAGGAAATTTAATTTAGGAGTTTTCCACATAAAGCTTTTATTGGCACATAAAAAATAGAAACTGGATTTGTTGAGGCTATATAGCCAGGTCACATAGAAATATCACATAAAATGAATCAATAGCCAGCTTCTCTTGCTGTTAAAAAACAAAAGACAAGTGTCTGTCCCTTCGCACGGAAGGGGTATGGACAGAAGACGAAAAGCTGCAGATACAGTTAGAGGGGGCATTGTGCAGTGTGTTTCAAATTAAGTTCTTTGTGAAGATGATAACTTACATTTATTAAGTCACAAGCTGGATGAAGGGTGGTATATAAATTAAATAAAGAAATAATGAAGTGTGATGCTTGAAGCCCTGAACATATTAATTTCTGCCTCAAGTTAAAGTGCTGGCCATGATTCAGGTTCCATGAGAGACTGATGGAACTCAAAGAAGGAGGACCTGCTCCATCAGGTTCATTTTTAGCACATTCTGTGAACAGATGAGAAGAGTGCTAAAGAGATGAGCTGTATTTGTTCTTACATAGCTCTGTGCGTATATTGACATCACGGCATGTGCACCAGAATTACCATGTTGAGATTAAGATGGGGTTTTTTTTTAGTTAAGAACTAACTCTAGTTTGTGTCTATGCAAGATTTCTAATGGCACTTTAGTTGTTCCTTAGTTACATGTAACGGAGCAAACATTGAAACATAATTTAATGCCTGACAACTCATGAAGTGAAAAGGATGAACACAGGCAACTTTTATCATCAAAATATAACTTATAATGGTGTCTACAACCATTCAGTGAGGTAGTTTGCAGTGTCCTGCCGTGTGATGAGGAAACCTTGACGACTTTACTCTGACCACATATTTATGATCATGTGTGGACATGTAGTGAAATTCTCTGTACTACTTGGCAGGATATTCCAGACTTAATGGAAAACTACATTTGGTAAATCGTTCCTACTCAAAACCAATTGGTCTGTTCTACCAAGAAGTTCTCATGTGTAAGCTCCCTTAAAGGGAATGAGAGCAGGATAACCCAACATTTTAATAGGGCTTACGCCAAATAACTTCTTGAATGATTTTTACATTTCCTAGACCAAACATGGCAATTCTGCTCTCTTCTCTCAGAGGAATAGTATGTCTCTGGTAACTTCAGCTGGGGTCATAAATACTTTTCTTATCTTGTTCCATTAACTTGCTTTCCCATAAGCAGAGGACTAGAATAACACCAGCCTTTGGCAAGAAAATACCTGTTGCCGCCTTGCTACCAGCATGTACATAATATGCTCATCCAGAAGTTCAACAAGGAAGCCTACTATAGGCTTAACAGTTGATACTGTGATGAATATGTCTTTGTATCATTGGTTCTGACTCCATCCTCTGCCACCCAGTCATCTATAAGAAATATGTGTTCCCACATGTGTGGGGGGCAGGGAGTGACATCCATGTCTTTCTGGCTTGATGATTTGAGACATCTTAACAAAAGCAAACCACATCCCTGTATCTATCTTCATATAGGATGCAAAACCAGGGTAACATAAGACACATATGATGGCATTACTGAAAAAGTCCCTCCAGTAATAATAATTCAAAGGAGATCATGAATCCCTTATTCCCATTCAGTTCAAGAAGTGCTTTGCTTTTGTATAAGTGGATACAGAAGTCTTATTCATCCTGTGGTACCTAATTTCAGCTTTATTGATGTGTTTGGGGTGAATGTGTGTAATCTTAAAGTGGGGTGAGGACATGGAGGTGCATTAGTTGCAAAAGAGGCTCAGACAGGTAGGTGGAATACACCATTAAAGAATCCAGCATAAGCATGCTCATTGTGGCACGGGGCCAATTTCCCCCTAATGTACCTTGATTTGAAAAGGAAAGCCTGAAAAGGAATCTATTGCTTTCATTATTAATGAAATGGCTGGTACTGTAGATCCATCCATTTGACAGGCCATTTCCACCAGAGGTTTAGTTTTCTAAAGGAAGTTCCACTTCAAGATGACTTCAGGGATAGACCGTCTGCTTCGCGTGCAGAAGACCCCATGTTCAATTCCTGCCATCTTCAGGGAGGGCTGGGGAATGTTCAATGTCCAAAACTCTGGAGAGCAGCTTTTGGTTGGTGTAAACAATACTGAGCAAGATGGACCAGTGACCTGACTCTGCATAAAGCAGCTTCCTCTGTTCCTTCCTGAGTCCTCAAGATTTAAAGTGGCAATTGGAGATGGGGTGAATTGTGAGTCGTTCAAGATGTAGGAATCCCTTCCTGATCATTGGTTTGTGTCTCGCTGAGAAGGAATATTGAATTTAACTTGCATCATATTGCAAAATAATCATATATTTTAAGCATATTTTAAATTATTTCCTTGCAAAAGTTCAGTCTCACATCTACATCATTCCCAGAGGATATAAATTCTGCTTTTCAGTAGTAGTGTAACTATCACAGGGAGCAGCTGAAGACTGAGATAAATAGGCAGAACTGGCACAGGATGTGCTCGGGTTTATCTTGTTCCACACACCACCATTCTGTCTAGGGGCCCTAGATCTATATAATGGAGACACTAGAGGGTTAAATTTTCCAAAATGTTGAAGCCGCAGACAAATTCACTGTCTTGTATTGCTTATACTGATGCAATAATCAGTTTAATATTTTTTAGGATAGTGTATAGTGGTGCTTTCACAAAAGAAAAATTCTCTGTTGCTGAGATACATATTCTTAGTTATACAGTATGTTTCTTTTGATTTGGTTTTATTTAACACCCCTCATTATCTTTCTTGCATATTTAACAATATGCCTTTTGGATTGTGTGATAGTGTTAATCCAGAAAAGTAATAAAACCATGATAAAACCACCATAATTTGTTTGATATTTCAATGGAGGCAGAGGAATGAGAATTGAGTTTAGATGTGGAAGAAAAAGATTTAAATACCTATTACCTGTTACCTACAACTGGGAGGCAGATAGTGATGTTCCCTGAGAACACTGTAGTGGTGATGGTTGTAATGAGGCAACGAGTTTTAGGGCATTTTATACAAGGATGCTAACTATGCAGGTCATTGGTTCATGACTTGACCACAAATTAAGCATGGATTTCTGAGGAGAGTACCATTTTTGTACACATTTCCAAACATGTTCACACATTACATGTTTAGGCCTGAATTATGCCTGTAAAATCTCAGATATTCACCTCACAACAGAATGTGTGAACCAGTCTTATTTGGTGATTGGTAGAATGCTTCTAGTACAATCCATTGGAATGTTTCGTATGCAAGCCCCACTGAAATGACAATACTTAACTTTTCCCTCCTTCAATACAGAAAGCTCTGAGAAGATGATTCTGAAACATTCTTCTCTTGTTTTTGTTTATATTAGTAGGAAGTACATAGAGATCCAGAATTGGCCTCCACAGTCACCTATGGACACACTGTTAAGACGCATATTCATGGAAAACAATCTTACTCAGCTATGAATGATTGCAAATGAAGACGACATATAGATAAAAATATAAATTCAATCACATTTAATCAAAACTTGCTCACTATTGAATATGAAGGAGCACAAATTTTGGCTGGCCACCAAACTGTTAAAACCTTCCCAAAATCAATGTTTGAAATTAATGCCATCGGGTAATTTACATCTTGCGTCTTAGCTAAAATATCTTTAAACTGAAAACAGTGTTTAAAAACAGTTGGGGAAAGCAGACTTCACAATAGAGTTGTTGACAAAATCCAGTTTAAACTCACCAGGTTTTTCTGTGTGGTGTTTTGTTTGGTTTGGAGGTACTGTTACAAATTCATTCTGACACATTCATTGAAACAAGTGCATATTTTGTTCTGCAAGAATCTATACCCTGAGCCTTTTAAAGATGCAAACGATCAAAAATAGGATTTGCTCTAAATTATTTGCTGATCCTGGTTAGAGGAGTCAAGAAAAGCCTGTCCTTATCATAGCAGGTGCATTGCAGCAGAGGCGCCGCATGAGCCAGCTCTCTCTCACTCATGCTCGGTTACTGTCGGTCAATGCACGATAGTAACCTCGGATTGTGATGCTTCAGCAGCGAGGAAGCAGATGTTGGATTGGCTGCACTGTGGCTGTTGCTAAGATGAGAAAGAAAAAGAATGGGGAATATTAAGGACCGAAATCATTGCTGGGGGAAAGATGCATAGTTCTGTTCTGTAAAAAGCATGTGAATTACGTAATCCACAAGTCACCTTGGAGCCTGCGTTTTCAAACACAGCAGAAGTATTCGTGTCGTATACCCCCATTTTAAAAAGGGAAATAAGCAGCTAGTCTGAACTAACTGCAGGAAGTAGAAACCCAGTACAGAGACACAATTTTAAAGCCATCCTTTCTGAATGGCACTTGATTAGTTTAATTGTTTTTTCTTCTTGTTATTGTTCTCGGAAAAACCACATAGATGCACCTTGTCTAAGAAAATTATTTTTCTTTGGTAAAAGGGGCACATGGTATTTTTAGCATCTGACCTGTAAAAACTGTGAGTCAGTGACTTAATTGGACATCATATTCTATCAGGAAGAGATGGAACGAGGGCTATTTATTTCACAGGTGCCTGCTCAGGTGCATTTCAGGCATGTGCAAATAGACACATTGTACCACATGGGTTTGTGGGTTTGAACCCTACATTGGACAAAAGATTCCTGCATTGCAGGGGGTTGGACTAGATGACCCTTGGGGTCCCTTTCAACTTCACAATTCTGTTATTCTATTCTATTCTATTCTATTATTCTATAGTTGTCTCAAAGTATGAGGACCTCCTTCACCTAGCCCTACTCCTGAAGATAAGACTTTACATAGGCCCTGCCATGATCTTGAGCAAACTTTTTCAGCAGGAGGCTGGTCCACTGTCCCTCAGACCTTGTGGGGGGCTAAACTATATTTTTTTTTGGGGGGGGGAGAACGAATTCTTATGCCCCACAAGTAACCCAGAGATGCATTTTAAATAAAAGGACACTTTCTACTCATGTAAAAACATGCTGATTCCCGGACCGTCTGCGGGCTGGATTTAGAAGGTGATTGGGCCGGATCTGACCCCCGGACCTTAGTTTGCCTACCCATGATCTTGAGTCTCCACTAATATTTAAGAAGGGGTAGGACTGCAGAGTCTCCCACAACAACCCTCAACTTCTCTCTATCCTGCCCAGTCTCTTGTTCCTTGCCTTAGCTCCTCTATGGGCAGCTCTTCTGCTATTTTACTAATTGTGGCCTAGACTCTGGCTCTAGCCCTCCTGAATGAACTGCATCCCGCTTCTCCCTTCCAAGTGGGACTGATGGGGCTGGAGTTGATGGGAATGGGATGGTGGGGAAGGACTTTGCCTCCACCACGGTAGGTTTCTTAAGGACATACTTTGCATTGCCCTGGAGTGAATGAAAGCTACTCTGATGCAGAAGAAAGTGAAGAAAGAGGCCTGTTTCTTAGGTACACAGCAGGATTTACTGTTCCGCACTGGTCTTGCAAACTGACAAGTATTGAATGGATGTGTGTGCCTTGGAAAGCTAGTAAAAGTGTAGAAATGTAAACATGGAGGGAATCGCATCTGCCCCCCCCCACTCCCAGCCTCCCTGTTTTTTGAAGTCCCACCTACAATGGGATCTACATGCATATCTGACTGTGTGCACAGTCTCTGAACACATCCTCTAAACCAGGCACAGGCAAACTTGGCCCTCCAGATTTTTTTGGTACTACAACTCCCATCATCCCTGACCACTGGTCCTGTTGGCTAGGGATGATGGGAGTTGTAGTCCCAAAACATCTGGAGGGCCAAGTTTGCCTGTGCCTGCTCTAAACCCTACAAAAGGTACGACTTTAGTTGTATTTTCTCATAACCATTGGTTTGTTGCAAAATAAAAGGAAATACAAACCATACTATATACAGCCAACAAAGTGGGGGAGAGGACAGGACTTCAGCCTGTCAACTAACAAAATCATCATCAAATAATGCTCCCCTCAAACAATGTCAGACTGAATGGTCCCTCATTAGTCAATTGTGGTTTGTATGGGAAATGTGCTGATTTATTTTATGCAGCAAATGTAAGAATAGTTACTTTACCTGTCACATATTTGTCAGAATCTGAAAGAAATTACACATTTTAATCCCATTAAGATTTTCAGGCAAAAATCTTCATTGCAGTGAAGTATATTTTTGGCAGTACAATAAATAATTATAGTCTACTTGATCACATTTACACAAAACAACTCTCTCAATAAGCACATGTCATTGTTTGTAAGAGGAGGACTGCAAATTCCTTCTTTAAAGAAACACACACCTGTAGAGACATCATGTCTGTGTTCCTTGCTGAAATGCTGGCACTTGAATCCAACCCTGGATGCTTGTGTTGTACGAATTAGCTGCAGAGTATAAACAGAGTGCAAACAAAATAAATAAGTAAATTAAGGACAACAATGCCCCTCGGGTGTGAGGTGAAATACGTACGTTTTTATACTATAGCTCACAACCACTGTTGTTCATTCACAATACATTCAACTGGGGATTTAAGCTCATTTATTTCATAAATGCAGAGGAAGAAACAATTATTTTGTGTACTTCAGAAAATTATGCATCATTTTCACCTCCAGCTAATTCTTTCCTTTCCCTTTACTCAGTTATGCGAGTATAACTTAGGAACATTCAGGATTGCCCCACTCCAGAATCCAAGGAACCATTCTTTTAAATCAGAAACATTTGTTTCTAGTATTTCATAGCATTATTTTTTTTCAAAAGTCCTCAATTCCTAAAATCATGGCAATAAAATTGTTGCCATTTTTGTTATAATAAAAGAGGTTCTAGTGGCAAGGACAGCAATTACTTTGTACTCAGGTTGTTGTATTTGAAAACAGCAATTGGAGGAAGAAAGTGGCAATTTAACACCTTTTGGAGCATTAGTCTTTCAGCTAGATACCAGAGGAAGCAATTGAGAAAAGTTCAAGATTGAGACTATTACAAAATCAGAACAAACAGCATCTATTGTGGTGTGTCATTACATAACTGAATGTTTATCCCTGTACACAGGTCCTATCGAAAAGCATCCACAGCAAGTTTGGTGATTTTTAAGTCCATGGCATGAAAGGAACAGATATATTTCTATTTGTGGTAAAATATAAAACAGAGTTTGCCTGATGAGGGCAACAGCTATGACCCCTTTAACTTTCAGATCTTCAGTGTCGGATCACTAGGAATTATCTGAATCCATTTGTGTGGGTGCTTGATGTTTGTAGGAGAAATGAATAGTGCCTAGGGAAGTCACAGCTTGTGTACCAGTCAGGGTACACAAAGTCAAATCACCGTAGACGAGGCCAGATCAAGCTGCTAAAGTCTAGACAGAAGCTCTCTTCTATAGAAAACATAAAAACAGGACCTTGGATAGCTCCAAATGAGCCATGCTGAGTGAAGCACAAGGAAGTGGAATATAGATGTTGTTCTAGCAGCAAGATACTCAGCTGAAGGCTTTTATGGGTTGACACCCCTGGCAGTGTCACTGGCTTTGGCTTACTGGAGGAGCTGTTAAGGGTCCTCACCTTATTTTACAGTCTTTGACTTCTGCTAGGTTGAGGAAGAAGAGGTTCTGAAAGGAGACACCCTCTGGGTCCAAGAATAATGGCTGGACTCAGTTATCCAACAAGAAGTGCCCTGAATAAGCTAACAAAGTTTCTCCCCACCAGCAACTGTGTTTTCGTCTCATCAGAGGCATCTACTGTACAGTGCAAGGTCCAAGAGTCAGAGTCATAAAAGGTTGCATCTAGTTCTTTGAGATCTTCAGGCTCACAGGGGAGGCCAGCAGTTTCCAGTCAAGCAACAGGACCTTGGGCAATTCCAAGGGCCCCTGCTAAAACAGTTATGAGAGATAATTGCCCCTCCAGGGAGCTGGAGCCAACTGAAGTCTTATGTAGGCTGACCAGTCCTGTAACAAGTAGGCTCTGTCTCTCTGGAGGAGCTGACTGGCTGGTTAAAGGGCCCTCACTTTGTTTTGTAGCCTTTGATTTCTGCACAGCTGGGGGGAGAGAGGGACTTATCCTTGAGTTACTGCCAGAGCCATGCCCTCTGGCTGGGGGAACTCTGAATAAGGTAATCATGGTTCTTCTCCTGAGGACATAGCCTGAACCTCATCACAAGCCTATGGAGTACACTGCACGGTGCCTGGATTGTAATCCAAGACAGGCTGGGACTTTGCCTTTGATTATTTGGGCATGATTGTCTTGGGATAAGTTCATTTACAGGACAAAACCATATATGAGTTCAGAGGGATCTAGAACACGGAAGGTTTAGCCAGCTGCCTCCCATGTTGCAGCAACCAGATGGATGATGTTTCTTACAGCTAGGAGACTAGAGCAGTGTTTCCCAACCGGTGTTCCGCGGCACAGTAGTGTGCCGCGAGATGTTGCCTGGTGTGCCGCTCCGGCGGCTCCTCTGCGGCGGCTACAGCGGCAACCTCGGGCGGCTCCTGAGGCGGCGAAGGCGGCCCAGCGACCGGAGGCGAAGACGGTTGCGGCTGCTCCCGACGCTCACCAGCGGTCTCCTCTTCCTCGCCGCTGCTGCTTCGCGGCTTCTCCTCCTCCGCCTCCTCCTTCTCCTCGCCGCCGCCTTTTTCGGGCTCCGGCTCCTTCTTCCCCTCAGGCTCCTCCTCGGAAGGCCCGTCCGGCAGCTCGGCCTCCGAGTCGCCGCTGCTGCTGCCGCCGCCGCCTCTTTCTCCTCCGCTACCGCCGCCGGGCTCTCCTCCTCCTCCTCCGGGCCCCTCGTCCTGGGCGGGCAGAGCGGCGGGGGTCTCGGCGGCCGCCGGGCTCTCCTGGGTCTCCTGCATGGGGGGCTACGCGGCCTTCCCGCTCGCCTCACACGTGCGGCGCACGAACAGGCAAGGTGGCGCGCTGGGCCGAAAAGGGGGAGGGAGGGGGCACAGAGCGCGCAGGCGCGCGCGCAGGGGAGGCGCCCTCTCGCCGGGCTATGTGCGCGAGAGCGGACCCGGCGGCGAGTCTCGCGAGAGGGGCAGGGACCAACTCGGCAGACGAGAGGGGGAAGGAACGGATTCCAAAACCGGTGTCTTGCCGCGTTGTATATGTTAATTTCCTATGTTAATGGGCTAGGACAGGGTTTGCGATCGGTTAACGCCCAGTTATGCTTTCCCCCTAGGAATTAGGCGTTTCGGTCTTGAGGTACGCTCGCTTCACACCCCACTTGGAGGTTCCCCGGCAAGGGGGAGGGAAAAAAATTGAAAGTTACACTTTCGTGCGTCCCTCCCGGCGTGACGCTGCGCGCTGACGTCACGGGGCTGTAATGGTGGTGTGCCTCGAGATTTTTTTCATCAAACAAGTGTGCCTTTGCCAAAAAAAGGTTGGGAAACACTGGACTAGAGTTCTGTTTGCTGCCTGGGGAAGAAAAGTAGAGCTTTTCCTGTTATCAACCCACTGGGCTTGAGTGAAATGGACTGAAACAGTGTATTTATGGGAACACTCAGAAGGAACTACTTCTTGACAGAGCTCCAAAAAGTATCTACAGAGTTGCATTAAAAAATCCCCAAGTCTGCCTTGCTTATCCAAAGAAATTCATTAGTGTTTGCTATCTTTGCGAACATGTACATGGAGATCATTTGGTGCAATTAATTGCAGGGTCTATCATGCAAACTAGGAAGCTGCTTTACAAATGAGAGTCAAGTAATATAATCTACTAGGACAGGACAGGCTGATTTGGAGGTGAGCCAGAAATGAATCTTCTCTCAGTTTTAACCTAAGCTAACCTGACCTGGATTTAGACATACCCCATGAGGCAGAATTTCAGTAGCCAATGTGTTCTGGGTAGAAAATGTATGACTATTGTGATTATATACTTTTAGTTGTAGAGATTTTTATTGTGTAATTCAATACCTTGCCCATGTGTGGAATTTTTGTTGTTGTTTTGTACTGGAAGTATGAAAGAACATCTGTTTCTGGAAATTATTCACTTCTTTGTTGCCATTCAGTTAGCCCTTGTAATAACTTGAAAAGAAAGGAGCGTGGAGAGAGTAAAGGGGAAGCTGAAAGTCCTCTCTGAAAAGGATGGGAATTTGGAAAAAGCAGTGCATTTTAATAATGGCCCTTAACCACAGTTTGATGTGTTTAGACAAAATTAATTTCTTGGATACAATTTGTCATGGACAAGATACTCATCTTAACTTGATAGACCCTTCAGAAGTTAATTGGCAACAGGTATGGGTAAAAATTCATCAGATCAAGTTATGAAGATGCCAACCATTCACAAAATAGTGAAGACCAGCTTAAAGAAGTAAAGTGCATGCTTTGGGATAACATTTTGCTTACGTTTGTTCAGATAAAATAGCATATTTGCAGTTCTAACATGGAGAATTTTAAGTGAACCCAAAAGTTAAAAGGCAAAGATTTTTGTGACATTATAAACTATTGTGTAATATGCTGGGGAATAAAACTGATTATGTGGAAAGAATGACAATATGATGGGAGGTCTAGGTCACTGTGGTGGTAAAATAGCCACCCAGCCTTTTAAAAATGACATCTAAATAGTTTTGTTGTCCTCCTGGTCTGTTTTATTCTTCAGCTATTCCTACTATTAGCAAGAGAATTTTTTTCCTGATACCCAGCAGGAAGGTAGCACAGCAGCAATGTGTGATGGGCAGCAGCGATAGCTTTGTCTTCCTGGAACCTGATCACATGTCTGAAACGGGATGTGAAAACTTCCCCTTTGAGATAAACTTAGTCATGTACTGTATTAGTTACCATGGGTTAAAGCTGTAATGCTGCTATTATTATTTACTAAATTTCTATATTGCACTTCACCCAAAGATCACAGGGCAATTTACAATATAACCCCCCCCCAAAAAAATACATACCATAATAACAAACCAAAACAACACACGCACACACACACACACACAGTTAAAAATGCCATAGATTGTTTAATTAGCCAAAGGCCTGGGAGAAGAGGAATATTTTTGTCTGGTGCCTAAAGATATGTAACAAAGGCGCCAGATGAGCCTTCCTGTGGAGTGCATTCCACTTTAGACAGGTACTATATTCTCAAAAAAGTACAGTAGTCCCTCGGAAATCGAACGGAATCTGTTCTGAAAGTCCATTCGACTTCCAAAACGTTCAGAAACCAAGGCGCAGCTTCCAATTGGCTGCAGGAAGCTCCTGCAACCAACCGGAAGTTGTGGAAGCCGTGTCGGACGTTCGGGCTCCAAAGAGCGTTTGCAAACTGGAACACTCACTTCCAGATTTACTTCATGTTACTTTATCTACTTTATCAGCTGATATTAATCCAACATACTGAATGTAGGTTGTCTAGGATTTGAAAACAGATGAAAGTTCAGTATTATCATGGTTGCTCAGTTTTTCAGTTTCCGAACTGCAGGAGTAGTAAAAACCACCCTTCTAAAATCCACTTAATGCAATGCATTTTCTTTCTGCTAGCACTGATGTGTTCACTGTGTAGTGGGTTTCTGTTTAATGCTTCTACACATTTCAGAAGAAATTATGATGGCTAATTAGAATAGTTCAGGGATGTTTTAGCAGGTTCTGTGTTTAGTGTGTTGGCAATGAAAATATTTTCATTTCTGAGACTTCATTAATGCAAATAATCCAGAGGAGAGCTAAAAATGCTGTTGTCAATGCTCTACGCGTAAACCAAAAATCTGGAAGAGATCCATAGCTTATTTCCACATTCATGGGAGGATTTTTTTTAAAAAAAAATTAGCATTCAGGAACACAGATGCTAGTGTTACACTAAATTTTAGAGAAATTGTGAAAATTTGCCAGTTTCACCAGGCCTCTGGATTTTTTTTATGTCTCTAGGCTAGGGATGAGTGAAAATATCAGTGTTGGTTCCTCTCAGTTTTCCCAATCATATTTCAATATGAGTTTGCAGTTTTCTTTTAAAATCCTCATGAAAACTACTCAGCATTTTAGTCCGGATATACACATTTTTGTATGCAGTTTAGCCTAGTATACATATTTTTGCAAAGCAATGCATTTTTGGATGCTATTTTCCCTGATCCATGAATTTTTATGATATATAATTACTTGGCTGTGGAGTTGTGCTGCAAAATTTGGAGAAGTGTGGATTTTGTGCTTTGCTTTGTGCATTGTTTCAGCAACTGCAAACTGAATCAAAGTTATTCCACTTCCCTACTCGAGGCCATTAGAAATGTTTTAGTGGTATTGTTACTAGTTGTAAAGGAAATAGTGTTAAGATGATGGATGGATGGATGGGTTTTCCATTGCTCCTCCCTGTAGCCCCATCCTCCCAGATGTTCTCCAGCAGGTTCCCCAAACCCTCCAGAACTGATTTGTGGGCACACAGGGAGCTGCAGAGAATGAGAGTGGAATGGGAAACCCCATTTCATTCATGGAAATCTATCCTGTTGGCAGGTTAGCACCATTGGATATCAGCCCCCCCTCTCTCTCTCTGTGTGTGTGTGTGTGTGTATAGTTTTGATTGCTGTGTGGCCTTATTATGAACCCTTGAATATTTGGGCTTTAGCTCATAATAGAATCACAAAATCTAATCGGTGGCTGCTTGATTGGCATAGGCATATCTTTCTCCAGCCCCAGTGTGTGTTCTACTGTTGTATTTGTGAGTCATCCTAATGACCACAGGTGCCTGCATTGTCTCTTTGTGTTAAGAGAGAGAGATCCTTCCAGGATAGACTTCCATTCAAAAGCAAATGCAAGATCTTTTTTCCTAACAATAATAACCTGCCAAATGTTTACATAAGGCTTGAGTTGCTTGAAAAGAAGCTATTCTGTAAATTCACAGAAAAGATTAAAACAGTAAATCATGTAACTTCACCTCATCACTTTCCCCCTTATTTGGAGGCAAGCAAACGCACAGAGCAAGACACATTCTGACTCATAATTCCTCAAACCTGTAGACCTGAAGCTTGCCATGTGGAATACATCCTTGAATCACTTGCATGAAGCCTGGTGGGAGCAGGGTTATTATCGTTCATTGACCCATTTAAGAGGCTCTCTCTCTCTGCTCTGGGATGCAGGCATGTGGCTGTATCTACTTATATCTAGCTTTATGTTGCTTCTCACACAATGCCAGCACCTGCTTTTAAGAACCAGATGCTGACAAAGTTGTCTTACTGAAAAATTCATTTTCACAATCTTTTAAGACAACATTTAATGAAAATTATATCTGTGTAGGAGAATGGATCGTTTTATTTTTTTCAAGCATGAAAGCTGCCATCCTCGCTAATAATTTTAAGAAGAATTTCAGTGCTATAGCCTTTTCTACGTCAAGCTTTCTTCTCCAACCACACAAGTCCAAGCCTACCAACTGGTTGTCTTTCTTCTGTAATGTTGGCATTAAAGAAACAAACCTTGGCAGTAGCTTATAGGAAACAAAGGATGAGTAGTATCAGAATCTATTTACACTTTACAAAGAAATGCATTGTGCTGAAATGTAGACAACGTGCACTTTTTGTTTGCCACTTCAGGGGCAATGTACTTGTGGATCTTAGTGTGGGAGTTTGCCTATCATAGTTACTCACAACCAAGACCCCAAACCATCTTTTGATCCTCGTTTACAAGCAGACACTGGTTTAAGAAAACCAGTTTGGACACCAATTGGAAACAAATGGGGGGGGGAAGGAAATGTATGAACTCAACATTAACTCATTCATGATCTTCCAAATTAGGGTTTGGAGCGTTGTGCGATTGTGGCTGTTGTGTCAAGAGCATGTTGGTGACTTTTGGAAGTTTCCGGTTGCCGTTGTTTGGTTTCTTTTCATTCCAATTGGTGAAGTTGTTGATAGTAGACTTTAGCTCCAAGTCAGAGGAGCTGGCCTGTGAGAAGACTGAGGTGAAGGGAGATGGTCTCTGCTATCTCAACAAGAGGAATACCTGCACTGGTCAACAACCTTTTTGTACCAGGGGGTACATTTCAAATTTTGAAAGTGTGCTGAGGGCTCCAGTTAGACTGTCATATTGTAGCTATTTATCTGGGATCAAGTCCCGTCAAACACAAAAGACTTCTGAACTTTTGGCTTCATAACATTTTTTCTAGGAGGACTAGAGACTTAGTCTGCAGCGCTTTCCTGAGGGCACCAGTGAAGACCTTCGTAGGCACCCTGGCACCCTCAGATGGTGGGTTGGTGACCCCTCTTTTAAATGGCTTAAGAAATAGTACCAATAAAGTTATGGCCTGCTAGCCCCAAATTATGTGGTATTTTCTCTTCCTTTTGGGCTCAATCTGTGCTCTTACTAGTTTGTTGATTTTTGGATAACGTCAGCAAGATTACTGCTAAGAGGGAATCACTGTAAAGAGAAGTTTAAAGAACTTCACACTTCCTAAGGAAATCTAAGTTGACGTACATACAACATACTAATACAGCAGTGATGAATTTGTGGTAAACGACTTGTAGTTGGGCAGGAAGCATGAGGTCACACCATCTGCTAAATGGCCAGCCACAAATGCTATAGTGTTAGGGGTCCAACTGCCTAGTGGGTTGTCACGTCTCATTAGTTTCTCTGAAGAAAAGCATTATCCAGTTATTAAATTTATACAATGAATAGGCTGCTGCTGGGGTGTGGGGGAGTATGGCATGCACAGCTTTAGAAAGATCCATAAACCTTACTTTGTAAAGACTTCCTTCTGTTTAACAACACAATGCAGTCTGTCAGATCTAGTGCCTAGCTGAAATTTAATCCATGGCTCTGAGAGAACAATAAAGTTAAAGGGGTATATGAGCGTTTCTGGAATCTAAATTCTAGGTAAATTAACAATTTAACTGCATCCCCCCCCCCAGTTCATGCCATAGTTTCTTACCTGACTGATGCCTACTTTTAGACAATGGTTCATATAAGTGCCTTGTGCTGTTATGCCAGAGATTTACCGTAGTTAAGAGATCAGTGATTATAATCTCTCTCTAACTTCTTAGGCCACAGTTTTACAATAATAGTGTTTATCCCTTTGGAAATCGTAGTTACTCCCTACACTTTTTGAGGAAACTTTTTCACAAGGCCCACATGCTTTTTACATTTTGGGGCTCCATGATGGTGTCTTGAGATAGGATTGTTTTGTATACACATCATTTGATTAGGTTTTTCATTAACTGGTGAGGGCATTTTTGTAAGACAGCATATATTGTGGAGGAAAGAAAGGCATCTCTTGGTGTCTCTTCTAGATCGCAAATTGTGACTTGGTCAGCATAATTCCGTTCCACTGCTGTCGTTTTGTTTTTAGCAATGCAAGGTATTCATTCTGTGCAGATCTTAGACTTTTGCCCGAAAGTTCTACCCCGACAGCACCAGTGTTTATAATCACAGGAAGCATGCAATGCCAATATAGAATTTATGGGTCAACAGATTCTAAATCAGATTAGCCTTGAAATGTTCTGCAGCAGAGAAAGGCTCTAGTTCTTTCTGTGTCTGAATATTTTTAATCCTCCATAAGGGATTAAAAGGGGCACAATGCTGGTATTACATAGATAACTAGTCTCTACTTGGTTGACCTTCATAGGCAACAAGACCTTTCACCCATTTCCAGAAAAGAATAATGCATGGCATTGTGCTTTAGGGTCTCAGTAGCCTGAAATGCTCGTTAACAAAATCCAGTTCTTTAATTCATTTTGTACTCTTCCCCTTTAAAAAATAAAATAAAAATGTTTTATGCTTGGGTTAAATACTGTGGGGAAGCAGCAGTGTATACATTGCTTAATGTGGCTAGACCAGTTGTGCAATCCTGGGAAAATACAGTTACTTAATGTGGTAAGGCCAGTTGTGAAACACAGTGATGCAGGCAAACAGAACCTGTGACCTACCAGAGGATGTTGCACTTCAATTCCCATCATCCCTAGCAAGCATAGCCAATGGCCCAGGGATGATGGAAGTTGTAGTTTGCCTGTCTGTTTGTAGCTTCCTTTCTCCCGAACTGGGACTCAAGACAGCTTACAACATTTTAAAAACATCAGTATAAAAGACAAGGTCATGAAAGCAAACTAGTTAAACACAATAGTTAAAAAAAAAAAGCACAATTAAAACTGGCACTGAGTTATTGATTGCTCTGATACCAGCCCAGTGGTCAACATCACTGGCACCTAGTTTTCAGAGGCCTACCTGAAAAAGAAGGTCTTAGCCTGCCAGTGGAGAGATAACAAGGAGGAAGCCCATCAAACCTCGCTTGGGAGGGAATTCCACAGTATGGGAGCCGCCACAGAAAAGTCTCTCTTGTATCACCACCAGCTGTGCCTCTGATGTTGATGGGACCGAGAAAAGATGCTCAGCTGAGGATCATAGCACCTGGACAGATTAGTAAAGGGAGATACAGATCTTTTGGGTATCCTGTGCCCCAGCCACATACGGCTTTATAGGTGATAACCATCACTTTGAATTGTGACCAGAAACAGACCAGTGGCCAGTTGTTTTCACAAGGGAGTAACATGCTCTCTGCAGCTAGTCCCAGTGAGCAGTCTGGCTGCAGCATTCTGGGCCAGCTGAAACTTCCAAACATTTTTCAAAGGCAGCTGCACAGAGAGCAGGTTGCAGTAACTATGGCATACATTCACCGTGGCAGGTCTGACATGTCAGTAGTTTAGCAACATCTGGAGCACAGGTTCCCGCATACCTGCAGTACTGCCTGGGTCCAAATTTCTATTTTTCTTTTTCTGCAGTTAAGTCATTTCCATCAAGCTAGTGAAGTTTCCTGAACAATTGCTGTATGCTCTCACCCAGCACACATTATTCTTGTTCGGAGGTGGACATCTCTGACAGCGTTCATTGTAAACCTTCTTTCACACTGGCAGCTTAAACGCAGCTTGCGGGATGCACTTAAGGTTGTACCTTGACAAATAATTTATGACGAGCGCTTTTCAGTATGCAGTTGGTATTTTTTGAAAGGCGTGGATAAGGAGTGACATTTTATCTTGCTTTCAACTCCTTTTCATACTGTGAAGATTCCTGGAAATCAGTGAGGCTTGCGTTTACAACACTGTTCAAGAGCCAAGTACATTGAAAACCTCTTATATGTTTGTCAAAATGTCTGTAAAAACACAAATGATGGGGGTATAGCAGCCGGAGCAGTCTGCTAAAATCAATGCAGACATTACAAGCAAACTGTAGGCCTTTTCTTTCAAATCTGGCTTTTCAATGGCTGATGGCGATGAAAATGATTACCTTATTAAACGTCAAACTTGCTTTCTCACATTCACTTCCTGCTGTTCTGTGACCATAGCAGAGTCGTGCTGGATGAGACCAAGGGCCCGTCTAGTTCAGCATCCGGGCCTGGATCTAGACAATTCAAAGAAGTGTTTCAGTTTAAAACGTCGTAAATTTAAACAGGGAAAACAGGTAGAAAAAAATCGGGACTTCACGTCGCCATCTGGTGGCACAGTGTAATATCACACATACCACACATATACCGTATTTTTCGCACCATAGGACGCACTTTTTCCTTCCTAAAAAGCAAGGGAAAATGTGTGTGCGTCCTATGGAGCGAATGCAGGGGGAGGCAGGCGGGAAAAGCCCCCAAGAGCCGCACACAAGCTCCGTGCGCTCTTGCGGGCTTTTCCACAGGAGGGAGAAGGGACTGACTGGCCGCATCAGTCCCTTCTCCCACCTCCCAGGAAAGCCAGGAGAAGCCGTGCAGCCCTTTTAAAGTGCACGCGGCTTCTGCCGGTTTTGCGGGAGGTGGGGGAATTCCCCCACCTCCCAGAAAAGCCAGGAGAAGCCGCGCAGCCCCTTTAAAGAGCTCACGGCTTCTGCGAGAGGTGAGGGAATCCCCCCACCTCCCAGGAAAGCCAGAAGAAGCCGTGCAGCCCTTTTAAAGTGCGCGTGGCTTCTGCCGGTTTTGCGGGAGGTGGGGGAATTCCCCCACCTCCCAGAAAAGCCAGGAAAGCCCTGCGCAGCAACTCCCGGCAAGGAGAGGCTGCGTGGGGCTAAAGGAGAAGGCAAAACAGCGAGCGGGATCCATCCCGCTCGCTGCCTTGCCTTCTTCCATAGCCGCGCGCAACCCCTCCGCAAGGAGAGGCTGCGCGGGGCTAAAGGGGAAGGCAAAACAGCGAGCGGGATCCATCCCACTCGCTGCCTTGCCTTCTTCCATAGCCGCGCGCAACCCCTCCGCAAGGAGAGGCTGCGCGGGGCTAAAGGGGAAGGCAAAACAGCGAGCGGGATCCATCCCGCTCGCTGCCTTGCCTTCTTCCATAGCCGCGCGCAACCCCTCCGCAAGGAGAGGCTGCGCGGGGCTAAAGGGGAAGGCAAAACAGCGAGCGGGATCCATCCCGCTCGCTGCCTTGCCTTCTTCCATAGCCGCGCGCAACCCCTCCACAAGGAGAGGCCGCGCGGGGCTAAAGGGGAAGGTAAAACAGTGAGCGGGATCCATCCCGCTCGCTGCCTTGCCTTCTTCCATAGCCGCGCGCAACCCCTCTGCAAGGAGAGGCCGCGCGGGGCTAAAGGGGAAGGCAAAACAGCGAGCGGGATCCATCCCGCTTGCTGCCTTGCCTTCTTCCATAGCCGCGCGCAACCCCTCCGCAAGGAGAGGCTGCATGGGGCTATGGCTTCTTTAGCCCTGTGCAGCGTCTCCCGGCAAGGAGAGGCTGCATGGGGCTAAAGGGGAAGCCAAAACTTGGCTTGCTCCATAGCTGCTCGCAACCCCTCCGGCAGGGAGAGGTTGTGCGCACCCTGTACGCTGCTCTTTGGGGCTGGGGGGGGGGAAAGATTTTTTTCTTGATTTCCCCCCCTAAAAACTGGGTGCGCCCTATGGTCCGGTGCGCCCTATGGTGCGAAAAATACGGTAAATCGCTTTTTCTTTACCAGTCTAGCTGAGCCCCTGTTCTCACAGCAGCAACTCAATGCCATTGGGAAGCCCACAATCATCAGGACAGGAGTGCAACCACATTCTCCCACTCACATTTTCCAGCAACTGGAACCCGGCAAGGAGAGGCAACCTGGAAGTTAAGAAGTAGCCATTGGTAGTATTCTCACCCACTCAATTCGTCTAATCCCATTTTTAAAGCCATTTTAGATGAAGGCTATCACTATATCCTGTGAATATCTTAATTTCACTGTTTTATTTATTTATCATGTCAGAAAATTTATGCACCACTTGATTGTAAAAACAAACAAAACTTAAAGCGGTTTACAAAAAAAGAGACAAGACATTTTATCAATAGGAAGAATTAGAAACAATGATTTGATACTTTCAAAAAGTTGAACTAATAAAATAAAAAGAGGTTAAAGCTCGCATCAACTTTCTAAATATCTGGGTAAAAAGGTAAAGGTAAAGGGACCCCTGACCATTAGGTCGAGTCGTGACCAACTCTGGGGTTGCGGCGCTCATCTCTCTATATTGGCCAAGGGAGCCGGTGTATAGCTTCCAGGTCATGTGGCCAGCATGACTAAGCTGCTTCTGGCGAACCAGAGCAGTGCACGGAAACGCCGTTTACCTTCCCGCCAGAGTGGTACCTATTTATCTACTTCTACTTTGATGTGCTTTTGAACTGCTAGGTTGGCAGGAGCAGGGACCGAGCAACAGGAGCTCACCCCGTCGCGGGGATTCGAACCGCCGACCTTCTGATCAGCAAGTCCTAGGCTCTGTGGTTTAACCCACAGCGCCACCCGCGTCCCAAATATCTGGGCAGGCTCATCTAAATAAAAATGCTTTTAGCAGGCACCAAAAGTGAAGGCATTTGCCTGATGTCAACAGGCAGGGAGTTGCAAAGTGTAGGTGCTGCAACAACCTAATTTCTGCCTCTTAAACTACAAAGAAATGAATAAAAACCAGAAAGGTGTAGCATGCTTGAAATACCATGCTAAGACAGCTCTACTAGGGAAAAGATAGTAGGTAATAAAATGGCAAAGAGCTTTTATTTGCAACAAATAAATGTCCACTGTTTATGTTTTCCTTGTAAGATTTTTCAAGAAAATGGAAAAATACAGAGAAGTTCTCTCAGCAGTGCATAGTTTTATTACATATTGAATATCAAACCAAGCACTTAAATTGAGGCTACCTGACTAGGTCTAGCTTGTTTAGAGACTAGCGACATCTTGAGTCTTAAATCAATCTTGGGATGCAAGTATTTCAGATTCTAATCTGCTAGAATGACTAGGAAGACGTGGGGGTCAATGTCTAAACATTGCACCACCTTCTTTTGCAGGTTTCAAGACCTTGTTGAAAGGAATTTCAGGAAAGTTCAGCAGTGGAGAACTTGTGGCCATTATGGGTCCTTCTGGAGCTGGAAAGTCAACGCTCATGAACATCCTGGCAGGATACAGGTAAGTGAGGGCAACGGTCAATTCCCACATTATGTTGTTTAGATATAACTAATTTTAAGTGTGCAGCTAAACTTGTAATATGTGAGATGACAAACATGTGCTTGGAAACGTATGTAGAATGCATTTATGCCCACTGGAGAACCAGAATTGGCTGCACCTTCTTTGTCATATTTATTCACTGTCACAAACTTGCATTTGCTGCCAGGGACACTGGTGGCGCTGTGGGTTAAACCACAGAGCCTAGGACTTGCCGATCAGAAGGTCGGCGGTTCAAATCCCCGCAATGCGGTGAGCTCCCGTTGTTCGGTCCCAGCTTCTGCCAACCTAGCAGTTTGAAAGCACGTCAAAGTGCAAGTAGATAAATAGGCACCGCTCCGGCGGGAAGGCAAACGGCGTTTCCGTGTGCTGCTCTGGTTCAGAAGTGGCTTAGTCATGCTGGCCACATGACCCGGAAGCTGTCTGAGGACAAACGCCGGCTCCCTCGGCCAATAAAGCGAGATGAGCGCCGCAACCCTAGAGTCGGTCACGACTGGACCTAATGGTTAAGGGTCCCTCTACCTTTACCTTATAATACATAGAAGAACCTTAGGTCTAATCCTTGTTCTTAAGCAAATATTTCACCTTGTATTTATAAAACATTTTTTTTAAAAAAGCCTTAATACATATCAGCAACACTGTTGCTCAAACCTGCTCCTGCAGATTTGGATTCTCTGGTTTAAAGTCTACAAGTGTTTTGATAAGACAAATATTTTCACTCATGGTGCTGCATGATTGAGAGAACTCCAGAGATTTAGAAGTAAATACTATGCCACCTGCTCCGAGGGCTGATTTGCTCATTGCAGTCTTCTGAATGTAGGACTTGTCTACAATCTCATGATTTCCAAAACAGCCTTGGAGCTCTCGGTGAGTCAGATGAGTGAGTGAGATCACTTCACACATTGTGCTTACTTGCATCTGCAGAAGCATAATTGACTTGCATGTCTTTTTTTTAAAATGTAAAGTGCACATAGGGGTAGGAGACAAATTTGGTTCAGTTCACCTTTAAAGGCAAACCTGCCTAATTCACACTTTAAGAACCAAAGCATAGCTATCCTTCAAAATTTACATTTCTCCTAATATGGGAATGAAATTTTCTAGCCAAGCAATGTTTACAAAACTGTAGAGTGTGCATAAACATTAACGTGATAGTGAGAATACCATAACAATGCATTGTATTAGGGGAAATTATTTGCAAAAGTGAGTACATTAGTCAAATCTGCATACATAAGGCTAAATTTGCACCAAAATGCAGATGAACTTCCATGAGGATTTTTTTTAATGAAAATTGATCATTTTACTACAAATTCATAAAACATTATATGCATAAAACTAGCATATTTGTGCAGAAATGTGGAGAACAGAATTCAAGACTGAAAAATGGGAAACAGAGAACTGTATTTGACAAATAAGTCAGTCCCTAAGTGCAAGCCAGCCCTTAGCTTTGTCTCCCCCTAAAGGATGTGAAGGAAAGTTTCATGCTTTTTTCCTTTTCTTGACCAATTTCAGAGAGACTGGGATGAAAGGAGAGATCCTCATCAATGGACAACCTCGTGATCTGCGCTCTTTCCGCAAAGTCTCCTGTTACATAATGCAAGATGACATGCTACTTCCACATCTTACTGTCCAAGAAGCCATGATGGTAATTGAACCACATTCAGCCTGAACTTCCCCATGACTATGGGTTCAGGACTGCCTGATCCTTTATAAGGCTTAACCCTGTGTGCTGCTACCCTGACAAACCTCTTTGCAGGGTTAAGTGCTGCAAAGTGAAGCAGTCTGTAGACTTGACCACTCTGCTTTTGCCTTGGAGCAGGCAATGAGAAGTTTGTTTTATAGCTCAAAGGAAGAAGTCCCATTTTATTTATTATTTACGGAACTTCTAAACTGCCCTTCATCAAAATAATTCCCAGAGCGGTTCACAATCATTAAATAAGCAATCAATAAAACACGATTGAAATGATAAAACCTTGATCAAAACTTTCCAGAGTGGTTAACAAACATTAAATAATTAAAGAAATACAATTAAGATTATAAAACCTAGGAAAAAGGTCATCAATCAACATGTCTAAAAACCCTCATGAACAGTAAAACAATAAAAAAGCAGGCTTTCATCAAACAAACAAACAACCCTAGGACCAGTGCTTTTTTCTGGGGGGGGACACAGGGGTATGCATACCCCTAAACATTTTATGAATCTTTGTACTTTTGTCCATTTACTGTATTTATTTTCCCCGATTTGAACTATAAAATGGAGGTTTTCTTGAGTCAAAATGAGAGTACCCATAAACATTTTTTAAGGGGGGGGGGGACACTGTCTGGGACATTGTGCATTGGTAGAATTTAATTGGATTTTCCAAAGGCCTGGGTACCAGAAGCCCAGTAATGTGATGACTGTCCACGCCTTCAGGGGACCACTATTGTGACTATAGGTGCAGGCTGATAATCAGAGCAACACTACAAAGAAGACCGCCTCCTGCCACTACCATCCACAACAGGGCAATGAGAAGCGCCTCATTTGCCTTTTTCACTTCGTGGAGGGGATTCAGAAGAGATACCGTATTCATATTTCGTTTTTTAAGAAAAGAGCCTGAGTTACAAATCTGTATTATTAAAGGGCTGGCCATCCATTACTCTGCACCCCTGCTTTTCAATTCTGGAAGTCACTTGTTTACACACAGAAGATACAGCTGCAGTATATAAAGCAAAAACACATTAATACTCTAATGTGCATAGAAAGTGTGGCTCCCTGTATAGAAGAGCCTGTCTTGCCAGTGGCAGGTCTTTGAAATATCCTTTCCAGCCTGATGCATCTAACTAAAGCTTATCTCCCTGTGATTTCAGTTTAATGATAGTCCAAGGTCTTTGGGAATGACCAAAATACACGCTCCTTGCCTCTCCCTTCACTTCCCTCTCAACAAGGCTGCTTGTTCCATAAACAAACACTGGGCTAGGAGGCAAAGCCAGCCGTCTTTGGCCTAGTGCCAGAGAGGCTGATTTGAGCTGACAAATCTAAAAATGTCCGCTGTCCAGGCTTCTGTGAAATCCACTTGGCAGTTTTGTGCAGAGACCTGAAGAGCGTTCAGTTACAGGGTCAACTGCTGTGAGTTGGCCTGGTCAAACCCAAGCTACTCATTTTCCAGCGATTAAATGCATTATTATACTGAGGACTTTGGGGAAAAATATTTATTTAAATGTTATTTAAACATATCTTCTAGGATCAAAAGATTCAGAGTAGTTCTTTTTTTAATTGCAGCTGCCCAAAGGAAAAAATAAATAAAGCAAATCTGCTGCTATTGGCCACTGTTTTTGCTTTGTCAACACCTTCATGTGTCCTTTGTTATGTCAGAGGCAGTATGTCTCTGAATACTATTTGCTGGGAATCACAGGTGGGAAGAGTGCAGTTGTGTTCTGCTTCCCAGAAGCCATCTGGGTGGCTACACTGAGAACAGGATGCTAGACTAGATCCAGCAGGCTCTTAAGTCCAAGTGTCTTTGTGTGATTACCCACCCATTGTTTATTCAGAAAGCAATACATTGACTCAAAGATCAGAACTCTGAATCTTCCTGGTTCTTAGAGAGACCAGGAAATTGCGGGGAGGGAGACATGAAGAGGGTCTTCCCACTGAATACAAATATGGACTTCCTCCTTATGTTTAAATACAATGGGGGCCTATGCAAGATGTTTACATGAATAAACCTTACCTTTCCATAGCAACTTGAGTCAAGCTGAACCAAGTTATAGTCTGAAGGGATGAGAGGTGTACACAGTGTTTTATCAATTTGTTCTCCTCTCTCATCCAACTGATTTCCAATCTTCCCAAGTGTGCCATTCATGCAACTCTCTTCTTCCTAAGGTTTGTCTGATCATGAGAAACGATTTAAATACAGAGTCAGGGAGGAAAAGAGGTGGTAAAGGACTCTTGCTGGATTGCACCTCCTCAAGACAGAAGCATTGCTTGCTTGAAAAGCATTCTAATCTCAAAGGCATCCTGTGTATAGGAGCTTCAATTATCTAAGAGGAGGCTCCGAATTAAGCCACATCTGCACTATACATTTAAAGCAGTATCATGTCACTTTAAACAGTCATGACATCCCCCAAAGCATCCTGGGAACTGTAGTTAGTCAATCATGTTGATAGTTGATGGAGTCTTCAGAGATGAGTGTCTAATAAGGATTATGTTTGACCTAATATTTCAGGTATCTGCTCATCTGAAACTTCAGGAAAAAGATGAAGGCAGGAGGGAAATGGTATGTATAGTACTTTGCTCAAGGAATAAATGAAACATACTGAATATTTTTAATGTAATTGTGAAAACTGAGCTAAAAATTAGTTCCTCCTTGCTTGTGGGGGATGAAATATGTATGCAGCACTCTTTATATCAGTAACAAAGGAATTTAGGATATACTATTGGAATTTTGTGCTTTTTGGGGCGAGGGCAGATTGAAGACATGCTTATTAAAAAGAAACCCCATCTGCTTGCCTACCATTTATAGAACCAGCAGTTAATGGTTAAATTTCCCTCAATGTAAGAATAAAAGAGGAAAGAAAAATATGTTGAAAGTACTCACAGGAATGTTCAGACAATTATAAGGATGCTTCATTTAACAACTGGATATTATATTTTAGCTAGATTTGCAGCTCAGCTTTTGATCTTGTATAGACAGCAGTATAAATAGTTGTTTGGGGTATGTGGTTGAAAGGAAATTCATTGTTGTAGAGAGCGTCGCAAACAGTGAGTTAAAGAGACTGCACTGATGAACATTCCCAAATTGAGCAGGACTGAACTCCCCACTAATGGGTGGGAGGGGTTCAGTCCTGCTTGCTGCAGGGATTGGCTCATACAGCTGATCCAGACACATCTCTACCTGCCCCACACCTGATAGCAGATATGACATCTGCTTTTTTTGGTTTTTGAAAATTGCCCCAGTGGACCAAACAGGAGGTCTTGATTTGGTCTGCAGGCTGGAGGCTCCCCGCCCTGTGGAATGTGGGCAGCACTTGTGAAGACCCTTTGAAATACTTTGTTGTCCCTCATTTCAGGTAAAGGAGATCCTGACAGCTCTGGGTTTGCTGTCCTGTGCCTCTACGAGGACTGGAAGTCTTTCAGGGGGGCAGAGAAAGCGTCTCGCTATTGCTTTGGAGCTGGTGAACAACCCGCCAGTTATGTTTTTTGATGAACCTACCAGGTAATTTGTATTCCAACCTAAAGATGGTTTCATCATCATCATTATTTAGTGCATGGCTTGCAGTACCGCATTGATTCATGGCCCACCCTCAAAGGGTCATGTGGTAAAGTGCATGGGGCCAAGGCAGAAAACCAGTACTTTAAAAACATTAAATACTTGATTGCTAGAATGCATGTAAAGGTAAAGGGACCCCTGAACATTAGGTCCAGTCATGGCCGACTATGGGGTTGTGGTGTTCATCTCATTCCCTATTATTCTTTCATCTTTTATCCAAAGCCAATCCCTTCCCTTCATTAATCCCCACAACCCATTCTGGTTTTAGTTTATTTAAAACTGATTATTATTCAATCTAATTATTTCTTCTTCCATCCAAAGGTAGTTCCTTCGCTTCCTTAATCTCCCCACTCCTGAACTCTTTATGTTTTTATTTTATTTCATGTTTTGCTTTGTTTATATGGTTCCAGTTCTTCTCCCTCCATTCCACCCCCACCCCCAAACCCCTAACAAGGAATTTTATGTGCTCACCAATACCTTTTAAAGCAGAGGCTGGATGACTATCTGTCATGGATGCTTTAGTTGAGATTCCTGCATTGCAGGGGGTTTCAACCAGATGACCGACCTTACAATTGTATGACAATATGATGCTGACTTCACTAGTTCGGATTCTGCTGATTGCTGACAGTTGGTGCCATTGTTTCTCCTGCTGTGATGCCTTCAGCAGCGATCTCTGGCTGCCAGTGCATCACAGGCAACTTCCAAGCAGTGCTGTTAATAGGGCACTCAGAGGTTGCAATGCAGAACCAAAAATGTGGTGTCCCAGGGGTTGGGAACCCTCAGTTTATAAAACAGAAGCCCACAGTGGCAGCCATAAGTGTACTGAGATGTGTAAGGTCCCAGATCCTTTGAAAACTAGAACGTATATTGTTGGCCAACAAGTGCAAGATAAGAAAAGCTGAAAGTAAGGTGGAGAGAGAAGGATGCTTTAGGGAACAGAAGTCATTAAGATGTTAAGAGCAATCTTGTAGCTGCCAAACTAAAATGTGAAAAACCAGGGAGAGCCAATGGTGGCAGCCCGTGCAGCTCATTGGAAATATCTCCTCCTACCCAAACCCTGTTGGGATTGTGGAGCTTCTGTTCTTTTAATTCAGAGGGGCTATTATGAACATCAGCGAGTGAAAAAAACAAGCCTGACAAACTCCTTTTCTTCCTAGCGGCCTGGACAGTGCATCCTGCTTTCAAGTCGTCTCCTTGATGAAGGCTTTAGCACAGGGTGGTCGGTCCATTATCTGCACTATACACCAGCCCAGTGCCAAACTCTTTGAGCAATTTGACCAGGTACTTATTTTGATTTCTTTTTTGCCACACGCATGGATGTATAAAGAGTGCACTCCCAGCTGCATCTAATTTCCTAGGCCACAATACCTGAGATCTCATTGCACTGATATACAGATAGAATAGCTTCCCAGTCTCACTTCATAGCCAAGAGTATGTATTTCCCCCCCCCTCTCTCTCTTTTCCTCGCTGCATAAGCTTCATGTGAGGCTGATGCTGCACATCAATCTCAGTGGTATCTATGCTGACTGGCCGTGGCATTCCAGAGTCATTCAGAGAGGGGGCTTTCCCACCCCTATCTGGATGGAAAGAAGATGCACTCCCACAGAACCATGGCTATTCTGTGCTGAGGTGGTCTCAAAGGCAGTTCCACTCCACTCAGGAAATTTTGCTACCTCAGAAGTTCCTCTGGGAGACTGCTTGTTTGAAAATGCCTGCATGTCAACGTCCCCTTTTTATATGGAAACCTTGTGTGTCACAGAGAAGTCAATGGACTGATAGGTTGGATCTTGATGGTGCCTGGGGATCTATTCACACAGAGAACCTAACGTACACCACCCTGGAGGTGATTTTCATGATCACGGCAGCACGTTTTTCAGTCATTCCAGTTGGAAAAAAATTGCTTCCAAGGAGCCACAGCTGGGATTGGGTGACACTTTAAAGTGCTCTGAGGGCCTCATTAAACATTATCTGCTGATGCATGCAAATAAACCCCAACATAACTGCAACTCCTTTGCAAGGGAGGGAGCAGTTTACAGCAGAGTCCTGGCAGAGGGATCCATTGTATCAGGACTGTGCTGCAGAATGCACCTACAATGATTAGTCCGGAGGGGCCCTCCGTGAAAAGCAAGTGAAGAATGACAATTATAGATTCAATTTGCTCAGTTACTCCTCTTTCTTTGATGGTTTCATGTTCAGCCTGTTTTTTAGTAGATAAAAACTCTTCATGTGTTTTCCAGAAGTGAAGGCCTCAGAGTTGAGACTACTTACTTTTGAGAAATCACATTGCTTCCTGATAAGTATACTAAAATCCCTCGGACATTGCTGTGTCACAGTGTCCTTTGATTTAGACTCTTAGCAAGGAATCTTGCTACTTTCCCATCTGATCAGATAGTGGTTTACTGAATAGGTTTACAAGGCAGCCAGTCTCGAGTATTATTTATCATTTGTTCTTTTTCTTTCTTTCAGCTCTATGTCTTGAGCCAAGGGCAGTGCATTTACCGTGGGAAAGTGTTAAACCTAGTCCCTTACTTGAGAGATTTGGGTTTAAATTGTCCAACGTACCACAATCCAGCAGATTTTGGTGAGCAAATGGAATGATTTCTTGGTTGTGCTTATTTGTTTTTGTTTTCAACAAGCTCTTGAGAGCAAAACGGAAATTTATTTTTAATATATGTCATAAAATGATAACCTCTTTCTTGATAAATCACACCCTCTAGTGGTAGGCGAGCATGCTGAACTCAGCACATGATTAAGTTCTTAGAAATGAAAAATTTGGGCACAGGCAATGTCATGTCTCGTTTCCTACCATCATTTCCCCAGAACAACTGAAATGATTTTAAAAATCTGAATTTCCTGAAGTTCTTCCTTCTGTTCAATAGAAAAATCCAAGTTTTATTTGAATTTTGAAACCCTATTGGCTGGAATTGCTAATAAATTTGATACTTTAAAAGTTTCAAACTGACTTCAAAAAGTGAAAATCCAGAGGTTTGTTGAGGTGGGGTTTTTTTTGGGGGGGGGACATTTTTTAACTATTTCTGAGGAAAATCAGCAAAAATAACACTACAAACATGGGCGGCCATATGTCCAGATTTTCCTGGACATTTCTCCAATTTTCACCTGTTTGCAACTGCAGTATTCCAGACGTATGGCAACCCTACATTTCATTAACATATAAAGTAACCAGATAACCAGATAAATGTCAGGGGGTGTTCAATGATAATTATTTAATTGGTGGACAACCCTGTATATTACAATCATATGGGTCTTACAAGGTGTTACATTTACTTAAGTCCTGTGATTAAGCCCGTAAGATATTTCAAAGCTGTTACAATCACTGTCCTGTCTTCTGCAACCTGTTGTGCCCTGGATGTTTTGGACTACAGGATAACGGCAACTGTAGTCCAAAACATTTGGCGGGCACCACATTGGGGAAGGAGGCAACATGATTTTAGCTACTTCTATAGTACAACTTTCATCTAAAGTGCCAGTATAGTGTGTACTGCATGTCTGAAGAGCAGATGGCCTTCTTCAGGAACTGTCTAATAATCTTAGTTTGCCCTATAATGTTGCACATGGAGTGAACATACCGGAGTGTATGGCTTACAGAGTTGCAACCCCTGCCCCTATCATGCGTTCATCATAACTTATGAACAGGCTGCATTGTATTCATATTGTAACTCTGCATGCAACCCGTGATCTGCATTTCTTCAGAAGTAAAATATCACAGGTTTAGATGCTACAAGCATTTCCTTGTCCCAGAAACCTGCTATGACCATGGGATTGTTGAATTTCTTAGATTGCCATGGCTTGATTTTGTTCCAAAACTTCGTACTCTCTGAAATAATTTCTGGATGCAGTTTCTGCATCCCAGATGCAATTGTCTTTCATAGTGCTTTAATAGCAGGGGTGGGGCTCTTAAGATGTTGAACTTCAACTCCCACCAATCAGCAGTGGTCAGGAATGATGGGATTTGTAGTTCCAACAACATCTGAAAGAGCACAGGTTCCCTATTTCTGCTGTACAGTTTCGTTTCCTCCATGGAACACAGTTTACCATCCTCAGTGGTCCAGTAGGATAGAAGCCTCATCTAAAATAATCATGAGTTCAGTAGCTGTTGTAATCTAGAGCCCACTTTCTCAAATGCATGGAATATTGAGATAGCTACTGCTACCCTTTGAACTTTAGGGCCCACCATTTACACAAATGCGCAAAAATATCTCTGCACCCACTTCTGAATATACCTGCCAGCTGAGATTGTTTTGTGCACCAGTCCTTTTGCCTTTTCCATAACTATTTCACATGGAGGTGGATAGAATGATTCTTTTCTGTTCTGTTTAGTGATGGAAGTTGCCTCCGGCGAGTATGGAGACCAGAACAGTCGTCTGGTAAGGGCAGTCCGAGAGGGAATGTGCGATTCCGATTTCAAGAGAAACTCTGGGGGAGAAAGTGAACTTAACCCTTTCCTATGGCACAGACCATCTGAAGAGGTAATTTAAATGAAAATTGTGACTTAAATGGCTGAGGAAAGGCGATCAAGCTAGTTGCTACAGTCCTTCAAATGCCTTCTTTGGGGGGGCAATGCTACTGACATAAGCCAGAAATAAGCAGTTCAAGAATGGCAATTCTACATCATGATTGGTGCCATTGCTCCAAGGTTACACAAACCAGACATTTGAGGAAACATTTGCATGGAAATGAACTTTGTTATTAATGTTTTATACAGCCAAGACTTCTAAGCAAGATTGTTAAGCAAATTCTCCTAACTTGGGGTTATATTGAATGTTAATTCTACTCAGGGTAGTTCTGTTAAATTCAGTGGGCATGACTAACTGAAGTCCATTTGTTTCAGTGGATCCTCTCTGAACAAAACTTAGTTTTATACAGCCCTTGAATTTGTTTGAAAGCACTCATATTCACATTCTCCTTATTGATTTCATCCAATATTCTCAATGCTATGGGATTTTGGGGGAGGGAGTCAAAACAAAATCTCATTTTGACGAGCTGATGCTTATCATTCTTGCCTTATCATTGTGCCTTTATTCTTGTAAACTGCTTGGAGGGTTATTTTTTTTATTTAATTACACTCAAACAGTATATAAATTTTATGAAATAAACATCAAAAATAAAAGGTCAATAACATTCATATTTGAAGTTTTTTAAAAAAAGAAAAGAATCTGAGCTGAGTTTAAAAAAAAGTTAAAGCCTAAAACGTCATGTTCATGTGAAGCGCTTCATCCAGAGTTATTTGCAAGTGCTTAACATTCTCCCTCCTCATCTGAGACTGAAGGGAAACTGAGGTTCCAGGTAGAAAGCACTTGTTCCCGCAACCCACCGTTAAGTTGTGTGGCAATGGGCACTGGTTTTTTAACAGGGATTAAATGCATTCATGGATGATAAATTCAACAGTGGTGACAATGGCCGAATGGGGGAACAACCAGCTCTAGTGTACAACCATATACTGGTTGCTGGCAGTCAGCCAAAGAACAAGGGAGAAATATTCCCTTTCTACCTTGCTGGTGGGCATCTCAGAAGCATATGCTTGGCTGCTGTTGCAAAGAGGATGTTTGACTAGATGGGTCCTTCATTTCATTCAACAGAGTTCTTCTTGCATTCATTGATCCAAAACTAATGACTGTCCTGAGTGGTACATTTAACTACCTTTTTGTTTGTCTATTCCTTCAGGATTCTTCATCCACAGAAGGCTGTCACAGCTTCTCAGCCAGCTGCCTTACTCAGTTTTGCATTCTGTTTAAAAGAACATTTCTCACCATAATGAGGGATTCGGTAAGGCTGGTTTCAATGCTTAAAATAAACTCCTCCCTTTAGGAATGTCCAAACAGGATTGACACGTACGAAACAATGATGAAAGTTGCAGTCCCAAACATGCATTAGCTTGGAGGAAGCTGGTATGGAATGTGGATAGGCTGTTATACAGTATACAAATGATAGATCCATATCTACCAAATTAAGCTATGTTGCAGCACTTGTCAACTCAAAACGTTCTTAACACATATCTTTGCCTTCCTACCAGGTCCTGACGCATCTGCGGATCACATCGCACATTGGCATTGGACTCCTTATAGGATTGCTGTACTTGGGGATCGGAAACGAAGCCAAAAAAGTCCTGAGCAACTCTGGCTTCCTCTTCTTTTCCATGTTGTTTCTCATGTTTGCTGCTCTCATGCCAACAGTCCTTACATGTGAGTCATGACCTGTGCAGGAGGCATTTTTTTAGGATTTCTGTGATGCTGTTGAAATCTGAGAGAATTTTGCCAGTGACTTGGCTTCCACCCTCATGAATATTTAATTGATTTTAATCAAACAAGGAAATGTAATGGCCTTTACAACTATTATTATTATTATTATTATTATTATTATTATTATTACTAAAATCCCAAAATGGTGTGTTGTCTTTGTTCATTGCTCACAAATTGTTGTCACACAGAAGTAAACCACCATTCAGCCTTTTGTGATTCTGTGTTTTCTGTGTCTACAGCTAGTAAGTTGATAGGCTACCTACAGGATTTTTAAAATTCATATATGAATATATACATAGGTAGATATAGGACCCTGCTTTTCCTCTAAAAGGAATACATGCTTACAGTGCTGACCAGTGCATGCATGTAAAATCACCCCCCCAACTGGTGAAGCATGAGCAGTGGAGGTCCATGTGGGCACTTGCAGCCCATGGGCCAAATTAGGCCCACTCGTCACTCACCTCATATTGCATGAAGTTAGCTGTGGAATTGGTAAGCCACAGCTGCAAACCTAGGACCTCCTCCACCATACCTGCTCCTTTATGCTGACTGAATACAAGGAACACCACCTTGTAAAGCCCAGCTATCACATTTGAATCTTAATGTTGTAATCTACAATTGCAATCAGTTTATCAGTTGTTGTTTTTTAATTGTTCAACATAGTTCCTCTAGAGATGGGCGTATTTCTTAGAGAACATCTGAATTACTGGTACAGTCTGAAGGCCTACTACCTGGCTAAAACGATGGCTGACGTCCCTTTTCAGGTAGATCTGTCTTTTCACATCTCTCTCTGTAATTTTGTAGAACAGCAACAACAGTAGGAATCCTGAACGCACTCAGTTATCTTTTCCATATAAGTGAATGGGTGCATGTGGGGCAGCTTTGCAGTGGGGACAGACAGGGGCGGAGAAAGGGGGTGGGGTGGGGGCAGACCACCCCTGGTGTTCTCACTGAGGGGGTGACAGTTGGCAGTTGCGAGCGCACGGCGTTTCGAATGTCCACCGTCGGTGGCTCCCTCCGCCCTTGGCTGCAGGGGGCGCTCCGCTCCGTGCACCTGACCCGCTATCCCACACCTGGGAGGGCACCGTCCATGCCCCTTGCCCCTCAGGAGTGCGCCCTGCCCCCCTCAGGAGCATGCCCACTCTGGTGAGCGTGGGCATATGCTCCACCGCCGGGGACAAGGCATACCATGACAGCTGGTGGCATGGCCTCCCTTGGAGCAATCTGGGGGTAGGGGCAGTATGCAGAGAGTTTAGACAAACATTCTGCACACCACTATGTGATATATTTTCTAAAAACAACAAAAGTGAATTTCAAAATATGGTTAGCGCTCTTCTGAAAGGTGCTGGTGGACACTGGTTGAAGTTCAGTTGCTAAACCAATATGGCTTACATGATGAGATGAAGAAAATGTATTCTTCCTCTTCCCATGTGTTCCATCACTGGATGTGGGGAGGAAAGATGCCAACCTACAGTGATACCATAAAGAGCTGATGTAGCAGGAAGCTCCCATTCCTCCCTCCCCTATGCAAAAAAGTGCTGATTACTGTATTTTTTCGTGTATAAGACTATGTTTTTCCCTAACTTTTTGAAGTTTAAAATAAGAGGTTGTCTTATACACGGATAGTGCATAGTGCATTTTCTTAATTTTGGGTTGGAAAAAATAGGGGTCGTCTTATACATGGGGGCGTCTTATAGATGGAAAAATATGGTATTTATATCAAAAAAGAAAGAAGTTGTATAATGCCATATTCCTTAAAAGATGTCTGTCTCTTTGCAGATTATGTTTCCTGTAGCATATTGTAGCATTGTGTACTGGATGACCTCACAACCCTCTGACGCGCTCCGATTCGTCCTGTTTGCAGCACTGGGGACAATGACATCACTCGTGGCTCAGTCACTGGGGCTTCTGATTGGGGCAGCATCCACTTCACTCCAGGTCTTGGCTCTTGCTTTTTTGTGATATTACACCAGCCTTGGCCAAGCTGCTGCTGCCTTCCACCTGTGTTGGACTACAACTCCCATCAGCCTATGCTGGTGGGCACTGATGAGATCATAGAAGTATAGAGTTGGAAGAGACCAACGAGGGCCATCTCGTCCAACCCCCTGCAATGCAGGAATCTTTTGCCCAATGTGGGGCTCAAACCGTTGGCCCTGAGATTAAAAGTCACATGCTCTACCAACTGAGCTGAAGATCAGACATATAGTCCAAGAGCTCTGAAGGTCACCGACTTGGCGAAGGCTGTATTACACATCCCTGTTCCTTTCAGCAATTGTAGCTTCAGTTTACTTGGCATGCTTAAGGATGGTGCATGCCTTCCAACAAATGCCATTGGCACTGAAAAGCCTTCTGTTAGTGATGGGTCTGGCAAAAATCTGACCCCCGTTTTGCTTTAGTTTTTAATCTTGATATCTGCCTTTTTTTTTTTTTTTTAGGTGGCAACATTTGTAGGCCCTGTTACAGCCATCCCCGTTCTCCTCTTCTCAGGATTTTTTGTCAGCTTTGATACCATTCCAGCTTACCTCCAATGGTTGTCCTACATCTCATATGTCAGGTAAATGTGAAGGGTGCTGATTGGCACTTCAAGTGTAATTCTAATAAAGTTTTACCATTGATTAATGCATCCTCTTGGTTTAGAGAGTTAGCATTTTTAAAAAATGAGAGCATATGCATGATATGGATGGGTGTGGTTTATGTTTAAAGGGACCATGTTTGCCTAAGTCTGATCAACTTGATAGCATATAGGACCTGAGCCAGAGAATCCTGTTTTCAAAGCTTAGTTCAGAGAGTGTTAGCACATACTCCCTGTGTGACCACAGCTAGGCAATACACCTTTCTGCCCTTCTTTACAGAAGAAATGGAAGTTTTAGCCTTATGTCATTATACAGAGTTGTGGAAGTGCCCCACTTTACAGATCCTTGCAGGCTTTCTTCAATTAATCGCCCTCGCCAGCTTCCCAGCAGGTGACCAGTCTGCAGAAACTGGAATTTATTTAGTTATTTAAAGCATTTGTGCTCCACCCTTCACCTGAACGTCCCAGGACAGAAATACACAGACAGCAAAATCTAATGAAGAATCTAAGCCAACACACTAGAAAACAAAACACAACACAACAAGTTATACAATAAATTTGCAAGTCAGTAAAACAGCAAAAAAAGGGAAGACGATCTCATCTCCCAGTGCACCTTCTCCTTTACCAAAGGCTGGGGCATCCCTTTTCCCCTGCTGATAAAGCCAAAACAGTGATATGGTGAGAGGTGCCATCTGTTTGATGGTTTCATACATGGCTACAATCTAGCAAGAATTAGTTTGAGTTCATATATGGGAAACTGCTTCTGCAGTTAGGATTGTTCTTACCTAATCTGGGTATCCAATAATATTTGTTTAGGGATTTTTTTTCTTTGTTCAGCTGGCTTGTTTTCTGATGTATGCCCCCCCATTTTACCTTCATAACAACTCTGTCAATTAGGTTAGTAAGATCTTATGATTTGTCCGGAGTTCCATAGCAAATTTCATGACTGACCAGTGGTTCAGAACTGCATCCAAATCTAGCATCATATTCCCACTGTGCAACACATAACAATCACAAGCAGAAACTAAAGCTGCTGATATTGTCATTATTGCTTTTATGGCTTAGCTTTGGGACTGTACGTGGATCGTCATGGATGTAAATATAGTGATAAAAATGGCCAACCCCTTACGCAATAATTAATTCAATTACTGTTGCTTTAAGGTACTTGATTATTATTATTTGCCTGATAGATTTGATTCCGCTTTGACCTTGCAAACTATTATTTTCTCTAGATACGGATTTGAAGGTGTCATTCTATCCATCTATGGTTTGGATCGGGAAGATCTCCACTGCGACAAAGATGAAACTTGCCATTTTCAAAAATCAAAGGCCATCCTCAAAGAGCTGGATGTAGAAAATGCTAAACTTTATTTAGACTTCATCGTGCTTGGAATTTTCTTCATCTCCTTACGCCTCATTGCCTACTTTGTCCTCAGATACAAGATTCGAGCAGAGAGGTAGAGAGGAAGCAGATGCAACAAACAACATTCAGTTGTAGACTGTTGTTATTGTCTGATTGTGGCAGACAAGTCTCCAGTGCCGAGTTGCAAGTGGGATTGTGATCTAGCCCATAGAAAACCATGTCCTGGTGGATTAATGGGTGCATAGTTAACCATGATTGTGAACTGACTGGGTTTGGTCATATTTCTTTTATGCTTTCTAGCTTTAACTAGGAAGACAAACTAGAAGGGAATCTTGTTTCACATTGGGAGCCATTGCTGCTGACCACAGGAATTTTTTCTCATGGAAGCTGTGTTTTCTTGTAAGGTAGCTGTACTCATGTGGCAACAAGGTAAAAAAAATGGCTGGGGATCTTTCTTCTATGTCCTGCAAAAATGTGAGGAATATATTATATCTCATCCTGTTGCATCACTGCAAGTTTCCTGAATTTTTGCACGTATTTCCCCCACAAGAAATCCCCCATGAAAACAGATATCTGCAGATTTGTCAAACCTTTATCAAATGAATGGGTTTTTTTCTTAAAAGAAAGGATATATAAGTAATTTGATATCTGTTGTCTTCTTTACATACAGATTTCTGGAGCTTTATTCTCATGAGCTGGTCTCATACTCCCAAATCACAATATTAGAATGAAATGTCAAATTCCACGAACTCTGTAAAAAGAATTCTAGGGTGCAAAAAGTGCATCTTATCTATAAGCTGACCACAGATGATTCCTTTTAGCATTTTTCTTTCAGGATATTCTTTCAACCCATGTTTCTTATGGTATTTGAAATATTCATTGTCCACATTTAACTACCTCCCATGGATGCAAAAGCTTGAATGTTCCTGCACTGGGAATCTGAGGCAGTCTAAGCAAAATAGAATCAGATCTAAACACGTGTTTGAATGTTCTAAAATATTTTAATGACACAGATATTGACAGAAGGGAGAATTGCCAATGGTGCAATGTCATGACTCCTTATAGAATAGTAAAAGTTTTCTCTAGTGCATATGTAGTTCTTCCGGTTTTTGCAAGGCCAGCATGTATAACAAAAGTCATCAGTTCTGTTTTTCATGAGTTCCAACATACATTTCTCGCAAAACATACTGCTATTATAACCCAACACAGAGGCTCGGTGGCTCTAACCCAGTAGCAGGCAGCATGGGGACTCCCAACAGCTGAGTCATTGTTACTTACAGGAGGGAGAGGGTGAAGGGAGATATGACCGAGAGGTCAGCATGGTACAAACGCATCAGCAGGAGTGCTGGATTGGCTCATCTGCTGCATTTGCATCATGTCAACCTCCCCACTGCCTTGCTGTTCTCCTTCTGGTAAGCAGCAGCTCCTCAGTTGTCAGGAGGTCAAGTGGGCATCACTGCCCCACTATACCATTCTCTACTGTCCTAACCCCATTGAAATAAAATGGCATAAGCTTGCTGGATTGCTTGGTTGCTAGATTGCAACCAAGTGGTCTAAACAGAGGCAGCCAACATGGTGCTGTCCAAATTCTGTTAGACTCCATCACCCTTGACCATTGGCTGCAACTGATGGGAGTTGGAACCCAATAAGTCTGGAGAGCACAACGTTGACTATCCCAGGTCTAAACAATAATTAAACAATTTTTTCCCATCCATTAACATTTTGCTTTCCTTTCAGACCAAGTCAGCCTCGTAAAATGAACGCAGGGTAATTGGAAGGGAGTTGGCTCTGCATTCCTGATTTCTGCCAAGCCAATATGCTTCTGTACATTGGCAGAATTTTGTATAGTAATTGTGGGTTTACCCAGCAGTTTAAAGGGTGATATGGAAAATTAACAGAGTAGGAAGTCAGTAAAGCACCCTAGATCTGGAAAAGATCCAAATGTCATGCCAAGTTCAGCCCAGTGCACTCAGGTTGGGAAATTGAATGAATGGCATTATGTTGACTTTATGAGCGAATCAAATAAGGCTGTTTTCAGGCCAGAAGTGGTTTTGTTTCAGCAGCTCATTCAGCAACTAGATAAAATGGCCCACTCAGAGAAATTGGATCACAGTGAGATTCCCTTTTGTGCGTGTAATCTAGAAGAGCCATTGTTCAACAGACTATTTTAAGCACTTCAGAGAGATCTTTGTTAAACCAAAACTGCTAGAATAAGCCACAGCTTTTGGGTGTCTCTCCTTCTCCACAATTTGGAAGATTGAAGGAGAGGTATTGGCTTCTAGAGTGATAAATGGCACATTTTAATACAATTTAGATTGTTTTGTGAACAGATTTATATTGCTAGAGATAATAAGTTCTTTCCTTTTTACATATGGCGGGATTCAAATCTGCACCACTAACTTGAGACCCAAAGTGCAGGCAGGCTTCCAGGAACCCATAAGGTCTACCTTACCCAAAAGCAACAGTAATCTGATGTGACAGTGTATGCCTGTCATTGTAATCTGGGAGCTGTTCAAATAACCAGACTTATCTAGTTGAGTGTCCTCAAATTCATTATTGTAATTCAGGTTAAACAGGTTTCTGTTTTTATAAAAGTTACAAAAACCCGTATTAAAGGCACAACTCTTTCAACTTGAGATCATTAAATCATAATACAATGAGCAGGTCATTCTGATGTGATGTTGTCCCATCCCCCCACCTCCAAGTTTTAAGACGCTTCACTTTTCAGTGAAAGAATGCAGCAAGAGAACCTTCCAATTTGCATGTGGTGGTAATCCGTTGTGTTGGGTTTTATTCTGGTGCCTCTTTTATCAGAAAGCTGTCACAGCTTTCAGTATAAGTCAGTGATGGGTTTTCGATGCAACAGTTTTGTTCGATTGAAATTGAGGTGAGTGTGTAAACCTTTCCCTCACGCACAAAATTTGATTAAAAATGGAACAGGTGCACAACAGGAAGTTGATGGAAGACGAAATGAAAACTCAAGACACCTCTTTGTGTTCTTATGTTCCACGCTGACGTTAGAATGTTCTCCTTTACATCAGTTCTGCACTTGGGACAACGTATCTCCAGCTGGTGGCAGAAGATCCCCAGCTGTCCACTTTGTCCATGCATCCCATCAGACATGATTGACCATAATAATCCATCTTCCATATATTGCCATGAAGAGGCAAAGGGCTAAAACTGCCTAGAGCAGGTGAATGTCACAAAATGTCATCTGATTGTAGGATATAGCCACAATCAGCCTTCCACAGTTTGCGAATGATGAATTAGATGTCATGGATTTACTTAAGATGAAACAGAACTTGATTGGGCAAGAAGAACTGGCTTCTTGATGTTTTCCATAATAGCCTCAAATTACTTTCCCAATATGTCCATTTTGTATTTTCAGTTTTGGGAATTTAAAGTTGGATTGTTTTCTTTTTGCCACCATCATTTATAATATTCTTATTCCTACCCAGTTGCTCCATGGCATACTTTCTCATAAATAAATGAACAAATCTGCCACCATGGGACCCAGCTTGGAAAATGAAATTTTAACAAGGAAATGAGTCGATCCATAAATATATTGGACAGTTTTTGTTACCTTAATACAGCAAGCATGACACTAGTCATTATATATTTAAGTTTCAATTATTACAATGTTAGTGGGTGCTTTAGGGAATTTTGTTTTCTATTGGTTTTGGGATTGGTATGACCTGTCACTAGCTGCTTTTAAGAGAGGCTGTGCCCCATAATTATAGAGAAATGTCAAATTCTATTACCGGTGGCTTATGATAATCATTATAGCTCCTTTTCAGTGTGATGAATTATATAACACAGCCCATGCCAACCTTGTGTCCTCTGGCTGTTGTTGGACTACAACTCCCATGATGACCAGCCAGCATAGCAGGTGGATGAAGGCTGGTTATTTACTCTGTGAATCATGCACTAAAAAAACATGTTCCTGGCTTAGTATCTAGCAGATTTGAATAATTACACTTGCATTGGTGCATTCCATTACAAAACTAAAACATGAGAAAAAAATTTTTTTTTTTGCAAGGAATGAAAAAAAAACTGTGAAAGAATTGCACCTGTGGCCTATTGTTTCTTTTCAATCATTTATGTCTTCATAGCTACAGCAGTTATCTTCTGCTTCTGCGGCTGGAGATAATTCCACAGGAGTTACAATTGTGCATGCTGTTGTTCTTGGTTGTGGAAGCGCTTGGCAATGGCAATGTTTGCTACAGCATGTGAGCCATCTGTTGTTATAGCAATGACTGAGACACCTGACCTCAAAGCAATCGTGGAATGTTCATAACACCTCTGGTATTCCAACTAGGTACTGAATCCTGCCCAAATGACGTTTTTTCCATTTAAAAAGGACACTCAAGTGGGTCTTAAAACGGCAAAGGAAATGTTGCATTTGAAATGACATTTGTGTAAAAGTTAAAAAGGGAAACTGCGCAGTTCCTATCAATTTATTCCAACACCTGGGTCTCCTTTCTTGCTTTCTCAGAAGCTCATTTCACATATTTCACGAATGCATGGGGTGGGGGGACGACTCAGGATTGTGCCCACTGTTCCCCCTCCTGTGTGCAAATAGGCCCTATGTGCTTGCAGATTGCATGCGTATGGACTATGCACAGTCAGGAGCCCAGCAAAAGACAGGGTCCCATATCACTCATGCACCTGGCATGTGCATAGACTTGGCTCAGGCGCTCAGCTGAACATACAAGCATTGGGGTCAGCAACAATAGCCACAATCTTCCTCCTCTTCCTTCTCTCTCTACACATTCAACACACCTGCAGTTTTCTTGTGAAAAGGGCTCGAGGTGTTTGCTTTTCAAAAAAATGAAATCAATGGCAGTTTTATAGGTCGATATATTCATTTAGGCCTCTAGTTCTTAGCATTGACATGAAGTCTAATCCCAGTTACTCAAGAATAAGTACCATTGAATTCAATAGGACTTACTTCTGAGTAGACAGGATTAGGCTTGTGCTTGCACTGTAAGTGTATTTTCCAGAGGATTATCTTTCCTTTTATTTATGTGATCTGTTAGAAACCTGGAAGTACTAAATAGTCTGTGGAGCTCCGTCTCTTCCTCAGGTTTTGCCGAAATTTTACTAGCCTGATAGTCCAAAAAGAATCCAGCGATATTTGTCCTTGTAGCTTTAAACGAAACATTGAATTGTTCTTTTTTTTAATGATCATGAGGCATCTTTCTTTTTTAAAAAATGATTTTCTGTATGTGAGTTGTAGGGTATGGTATTGCTGACGGTGGATTTGAACTATTTGTACAATTCTGGCTCCCGGATGCAGCGAGCTGTTGCCCTTAAACCTTATTTAGTTATTTAAGATACTTAATGTGTGTATGTATGTGGGTGGGGTTTTTTTAAAAAGAAAAATAATAAATAAAAACAAAACGCAAGAGTCAATGCAAGTAAAATGTCAAAAACTCAGCGTGCTGAAGTGTGCATATACTGTGTGATATCCTTCACTAAGCTGATGCTGTCCAGATGTTTTGAACTATAACACCCATCAATCCCATCAACAGCTGTGTTGGCTGGGGCTGATGGGAGTTGTGGCCCCGAACCAACTAGAGGACACCAGTTTAGTCAAGGTTGCTGTCTGTCAACTAGCTCTCCTCTCTTGGATGTGTAATGCACCCCTGCATTACTTTGGATTCCTGTTGGTTTTGCTGTTTTAGAGACTATTGCTGCTTGCACGCTGTGATACATTTGCACTGTTGTAGATATATGTAAACATTGTCTTCTTTCTACCCCCTGCTCCTCCTCCTCCCCCAGGTGACTTGTTCATATTTTGAAGTTTAGACAATGTTAGTGAACGACATGTACCTGATTCATGTACCTAATCAAAAGATTTAGGATGTTGGTACAGTACTTTAAAGATACTAACATGGAAAGGCTTTGTATATTTCTGTATAGTAAATTCCTAGAGGATCTTTGTATGTGCATTATTTTCCAAATTAGAGCTCTTGTTTTCTGAAAATGGAGAACACTTAACAATGTAACAAACAGAGAATAAAATAAAAGTATTGCTATTTTCAGATTATCAGCTTGGTTGCTCTTTAATGGCCAGATTCAACCATCCTTCAGCTTTTCAGTTCAAGGATCAGTCTTTAACCGTAAACAGTAGGGCATGTTGGAGAATTCCAACAAAAATGGGAACAGAAGCAGAAACTGCCAATGTTTGCTTATTCATGCCATGCCCAGAATGGCAATCAATCCAATGAATACTGATCAGAATTCATCATTATTGTTATGAAACATAACTGCGTTGAAATGGATGGTGTGGAAATAATTACATCATTGTGTTAAGTTTGTAATTTAAGTAACTTAATTGCATAAATTACATTAAATAGTAGACAGCAATATAAATAACAATATTTAGTGGAAACCGAATGGCAGCAGAAAGGAAACACCACTGATTGTAAGAAATACAGTTGGAACAGAAATTGGTTGCCTTCTTGCATCCCTAAACACAGGAACCACTTTTTTGTTTTTAGGCCATATATGTCTGCCTTTCTCTTTTTTCTGTCTACTCACTCCCAAGTCTGCCTCTTTTTAGTCCCTTTTTGGTTGCATTAAAACAAATTGACTCTCTTTGCTAATTCACAGAAACCTCATTCTATGAGGCATACTGTGCAATTGCACTTACATAAGAGGGACCCAGTAACCAAAATAACCTTTCCTATTTTCCTTGTTTAGAAGGTAAATGGAGAATAAGAAACCCTTTGACAATGGTATATCTCATTATGCATGGTGTGGAGAGAATGGCGAGAGAGAATGAAGCTGAGCAATGGAAGATTCGGGGACATCAAAAAGAAAGTACTTCACCAAACAGTTAAACTATGGGATTCATTCTTTCAAGCGATGGCTTAAAAAGAGGATTGTCATAGGTTTCTCTTTGGCTATGGTGACAACAGTATGCTAGGCTAGATGGACTAATGTGTTCTTCTTACATTTCTCCTCTTTATGCTGATTTTTATTCTATTTTTGGCATGTAGTCAAAGACTGTACACTAGAGGGTGCTGTGAGATTTCCTCATTGCAGAGTGAGACCAGAAATGGTCCTTGCTCAAAAATATTTTTACTGAATACAATTCTGTAAAAGACATCAGAACATCATGGTTTATACTTGTGTAGACACATCTGCTAAACTATGCTTTACAGTACTTAATATTAATTTCTTCCATATACTTCTGACATCTCAAATGGGTCTGCACTTTATGTAAAATTGTTTGGGAACCTGTGCTCCAAGGATCACATACAGCTCTCAAGCTACTTTAATGTGGGGTTAGGAAAGGGTGAAGAGAAAGAGGGTGAAAATGGGTGGGGAGTCAAAAATGGAAAAATCCAAGGCTATGAATGGCTAGCAGCAAGGATGGCTGTGTATTATACCTGAAGGAGTGTCTCCACCTCCACCATTCAGCCCAGACACTGAGGTCCAGCGCTGAGGGCCTTCTGGCAGTTCCCTCGCTGCGAGAAGTGAGGTTGCACGGAACCAGGCAGAGGGCCTTCTCAGTAGTGGCGCCTGCCCTGTGGAACACCCTCCCATCAGAGGTCAAGGAAATAAACAACCATCTGACTTTTAGAAGACATCTGAAGGCAGCCCTTCAGGGAGGTTTTTAATGTTTGATGTTTTATTGTGATTTTAATTCTGTTGGGAGTCGCCCAGAGTGACTGGGGAAACCCAACCAGATGGGTGGAGTATAAATTAATTGTTGTTGTTGTTGTTGTTGTTGTTGTTGTTGTTGTTGTTGTTGTTGTTGTTGTTTTCCAGTAATGGGGACAGGACCCTTCTGAATACCAGATGCTGCAAAGCACAGAGGTAATTGCTGTTGTGCTCATGTCCAGTTTGTCGGTTTCTCATAGACAACGGCTTGGCCGTTGTGGGAACAGGTGGTACCAGATCAATAGGAAGTATGAGCTGGTAAGGCAGGGGGGCCTGAGGCAGACCTGCCAGCTTGCCCACAGGACCACGGGCGCCCAGGGCCACACATGCCATTGGCATGCCCATCCGATGTCAGCATGCCTGCTGATGTACTTGCCTGATGTCAGCATGCCCCATGGCGTGTGCAAAAATTAGTGGGTGCCCGACCCCTTCATGGGGAATGTTGTGGGGGCTGGAGTGCTCAAGGACCTGGGCACCTGATACCCATGGCCTGGGGAGATTCCCAAAAGCCCAGAGAGAGAGGCTGCCAGGCCTGAGGTTCTCCACATCTGGTTTAGATCTCTGGCAAGGAGGGGGGAAAGGGAGGGGAGAAGAAATTAAGGAGTGGGGGAAGCTGACTGCAAGCAGTCGGTTTAGACTGCAGGCAAGAACAATCTGTACAACCCATGATAGCCTATTGGAGCAGGAGGAAGAAAGAGGAGGAGAGGGAAAGAGGAGGGAGAGTCACAGAAGGATGAAATGAGGATGCACCACTCAGTCCTTATAAGTCTGTTAAAAGGCCATGGGTGTCCCTTTCCCTCTGCCCACTCACACACCACACCAACTGCTAGTGGGCATAGATTGGAGAAACGACCATAATATTTCTGTATGCTCCTTTTATTATTATTTTAGGGTGCAGTAGAGTGTTGAAAAACATGCATCACTGGCAGCAGAGTTCCGTTCCATCCACAGGAGAGCACATGCAGATGCATGTAGTTTCGCTTTATTGTTCTTCCAGAAGATCACCAGAGCAGAAAGGCAGATTTGTGGCTTATTTTGATTTTAAGAGATGCATTCTGAAAACAAAATAGGATTTTTAAAAAAATGATATTAACTGGGCTAAGTGGGAAATATGTACACGATAGGGCTGCCATTTGGAAATCAATTTATTTCATTATGTTAACAGACTACTCCTAAACATGTTTACCTGATCCATTAAGCCCCATCGTGGGTCAGAGGCCCACATGAAATAACTACTTCTGAAGGCAGTCCTGTCTAGGGAAGTTTTTAATGCTTGATGCTTTATTCTGTTCTAATATTCTGTTGGGAGCTGCCCAGAGTGGCTGGGGAAACCCAGCCAGTTGGACGGGGCATAAATTATTATTATTGTTGTTGTTGTTGTTATATAAAAACAGAAAATCAGCTTTTAACAAAAGTGCTCCGGCTGTTCCAGAAATCCTTCTATGAGCCCATGGGATGGATACCTAAACTAGTTCACTGCTTGTACCTCAGAGATCATTGAAGTTGCTGCGCAGCTGAGATCTGTGAGCTACTGACTCACGTCAGGTTTCGGGCCTGAATGGATGAGTCCTGCGAGTGAAAAGAAGTGACCTAATGTAACACATGAACCATCTTGGAAAAGCATGAGGCCTTACTGTCTGATCTCGCTTCATCCTGCAGGCACACATGGAAGGGCTTGCTGGTCACTCTGTATCATTTTTAGAGCGTTGCCTTCTTTTTGTATTTTCTTTTGTATTATTTTGGCTTAAATGTATTCTACTGTAGTAGTAGCTGCCATGGGCAGCAAAAAAGTAAAATGTAAAAAAGAGAGGGGTACCATCACAAAAAAGCCATTGCTAATAAGTCACTAGAACTATGATGAAAAGTAAGACTCTAATAAAGTATAGAGGGAGATGTATGTGGAGGGCCTTGCTTCATCCTCAACTGTATTTGCAATGCACATATGCATTCCTGAACTTTAGAAATATCCGAAGACAGGACATGCCCTCCAATACGTCCCAGAGGAAAACCAGGATGTACGTCTTTTGAGGCTGTGCTCCCATGCAAGTCACATGACCCATTGAAGAGCACTGCAGCCCAAAGCACAGTCTTTTGGACCACAATTTTATGGGAGTCAGGTGACTCACACAAGACCAGCCCCCCCAACGGGATATCCCTATTTAATTAGGACAGTTGGGGGGTTTGACACAGAGTATGGTGTCCAACGTGGTGCCCTCTATATGTCCCAACTCCCAAAAGTCCCATTCAGCATGGCCAAATATCGGGGTTGTGGGAGTTGTAGTTCAACAATATCTACAGGCTGCCACATTGACCATTGTTGCTGTACAAGTTTTTCTTCTGTTGAACTAATCTGTACATGGGATAAGAAATTGAAACTAGTGTAATTGGTGCCATTGAGAAACTTGAGCAAGTAGATCTTATATTGTTATTTTACTACCATTGCTGTTCTTGTTTGTATTATACTGTTGTATTAATGGGAGACTGTGTCTGGGGGAGGCGGTATTTGTGGCTTGTGTTGTTGTTGTTTTGCTATATATTTTTATATCTATCAAAGCTGACTTGCCCTGGAAGGTAGTCTAAATAACTATATACATACCTGAATCACTTCCAGGAAAGAAGCACCAGATGACTCCAGGAATACTTGAATCAAAACAGCACCCTCTGCTGTGGCATGTCTGAGCACTGATGTAGGGGTAGCCACAGTTCACTCTTGCTTTCGGCTGCACTGCACATTGTTGTGTGGCTGTTAAAGACAAAGTTCAATTGAATCTGTCATATGGCACTTCCTTTATGAAGGATAGGCCCATCATGCTGCAGCCTGATTTAAAAAATTCTGAATTCATTGATTTCCTCTGATTCTGATGTTGTCTCATAACAACGGATAATTACTCTCTAGAAACAGCCACCCATTGTGTCCTCAGGGAAAGGTTCTATGGCAGTGGTAGCCAATGTGATGTCGCCCAGATATTATTGGATTGTAGCTCCCATAAACTCATTGCAGTGATGACTGAAGTTGTAGTCTAACCCCAGAAGAGCACCACACTGGCTACCCCTGTTTTATGGCATAATTTGTTTTGGATGTTTCTTTCTGCACAAAAGACACAATAAAATACAAAAGACACAATACTACGCTACACCAAGCACTGTTAATCAACACAGAGAATATATTTCTGTTGTATGACTTGATTCATGAACAAGCCTATTTCTAGATGAGGAAAAACCTTATAAAAACAAACACATCTCACCAGCACATCTCAGCCAACATCAGGCCAAAGGAAAAGAGTAAATCCCATTACAGTTAACAGATCAGTGGAAGAGGGTGTGTGTGTGTGTGTGTGTCTGTCTGTCTGTCTGTCAGTAATGAATGTGAGCAACAGCCAAGGCAGCTACTCTGTACATGCTTTCTCTTCTTGACCAAATCTGATCTTGACCAAATTCCCTATTGCAGCAAGCCTATAAATTCCAGTAATCCACTTTACACCACTAGGGATGGTTGATCTGCCAAGTTCAGTTCCTTTCAGTTTTTCACTTTCCTAATCATAAAATTCAGTTCTCCAAATTTCCGCATCAGTTTGCAATTTCTTTTTTGTATGTCCTCAACAGTATTTCAGTGTGAATTTCTCCTAATATACATGTTTGTATGTAATTTTTCCTAATATACACAATTTTGCAAAGCGGTTTCCTCTAATGTAAAGAACTTTCTCTTTTATTTTCACTAATATGTGCAATTATTTTTGCACACTTAATCCCACCATATATACATTTTTGCACACATTACTTGGTTGGAGAACTGCATTGCACAATTCAGAAAATGATGGCTTTCGAAAGATGGCTCTTCATAGCATTTTGAAAAGCTTGAATTATGCAGGTTTGCCTTTAAATGTGAACAGAACGGAATATCAACCCTATCCCAAAGCACAACCATTTCCACCACAGCTTCAGGCTTCCATGCATGCACCTTTGCTGAGAAAGTCCTCTGCATGTGCAAGCAGCTGCTCTATTTGCAATTCCTCTGTCTCATCTACTATCCTGGCCTTAGCCTCGGTTAGACAGTCTAACTAGGCTCTGTCCATAGCTTTGGACTGAAAGCAGCAGAGAGGGCTGAACTTTTCTCAATTGTCCCCTCTCTGCTAAACAGCTACTCAGTACTATTCAAGGGTCTCTGTCCTAGGTGAGCATGTGCAAAATACCAGAAGGGGCCATACAATATCCAACTGCATCCCCAGACACTTAGGGATGAGGAGTATACACTAGGTGACCCTCAACTGACTGTGGCTCCCTGCCAGATGTCCCCTGCATATTTGAACCTAAGAAGAGCCCTGTGGGATCACACCAAGGTTCCATCAAGTCCAGCATCCCATTTTCCACAGCAGGCAACCAGATGCTTAAGGGAAGCCCACAAACAAGACATAGGAGCCACAGTGCTCTCCAGCTTGTGTTCTCCAGCAACTGGTGTCCTGAGCCATAGAGCCTCTGAGCCTAGAGGCTTTGGAGTCTTGTGCCTTCAAACAGACTTGCGTCTTCCTTTCACAGCAAACATTGGTGTGACACTAGTGGTACCCACGGCAAGAAGGCCACTGGCATAAAGTGTGAAGTGGGTAGCTCTTATTTAATGTTTCAAGGAGCTGGTTTAGTATTCCCCAAGAAAAAAATGAAACAGTTCCACTCACGTCTTTGGAGAGTAAATCCATTAGTCAGGCTGCTGAGTCCTAGAATGAGGACAATAGCGAATAACAAGAAGCTCTTGTGCACCATGGCAGCTCACCGTCCTCTGTCCTGAACCTTCAGGTCTCCTCCAGAAAACAAACAACAATGTTAAGGTCTAGGCAAAAGATTTGCAGAAAACAATTTTTATAGCGGCCAGTTTGCTCAACATTTTCAGATAATTTTTATCTTGGGAGGCAAATGTCTTTGTCATCACGACTCCACCTGTGTTTTGATTTTGATTAAAGATTTCTATATATGTTCCAGATACATTATCAAGTGGCAGAAATGATGATTCGATCGGTAAACTTAGTGGGAGGGATCTGTGGCAAAGATCGGCCTCAGATTCTTTCCTCATGAATCATCCCCAGCCACCCTTAAATCGATCCACATCATGTTAGTGCAGCACTTCAGGCAACTACAGTACCCATCACTTGACTGGGAAAGAAAGAGGACATGCCAAATTGTGTCAGTTCACAGACGTATGTGAATGTGCAATAGTCTGTTGAGGACTCTATGCATTTGGAAAAAAATGTTGAGTTTTTGGGAAACTTCTGTCTTATACAGGCGTCTGGAAAAAGATTCAGAAGAAGACAGAAGAAGACAATCCCACTTCCATCATTTGCATTTATATAAAAAGCAAAATGCTGTTTCTAATTGAATACGTGTACTAGTGAACATAGAAGGATGATTTTATGGTTTACTTTGTTTAGGGTTGCAAGACGTATGGCAGCCCTAACTTTGTTACCAAAGTCAGCAAGAAGCAGCTGTTCCTAAGATTGCTCTCTGTTCCAGTACTGATGTAGGGCAAATGTATATTTTCACATAAACAGTTTCCTGCTTGGTAAGAATCTATGTTATCTTAATTTGCCAATATTAGCTCCATTATTGCAGTCTTAGCTGTTAGAGTCATGCCTATGTAAAAAATAAAAAATAAAATCTCTCTCTCTCTCATTTTTATAACTGTACATGAAAATAAAATTTGAAAGCTGAGTAATGCATTGACCAAAGGTGTAACTGATGGGGAAGGGTTACTGTGATTAATAGCACCAAAGTCACCCAGCACGGCACAAATGTGCTAATCAACTGATAAGTCTCCCCACAGATAAGCAAGACCAGTATTGCTTCATCTGTGAGCCTCCCTAATTTGAGATTAAGTATTTGAAACTCTCCAACAATGTCAAAAGTAGAACTACCTGGTTTACCAATCCTGCCCTGAGAGCAGGTAAAATGGCTACTTACAACAATGACCAAAAATGAGAAAATGTATCACCAAAAAGGGGACTAATTGTTCTATGCATAATGTTTGTAGATGCCAATAGATATGTAAAGGTACACATTTATAAATACCTCTGGAATTTAAAAGGAAATACACTGCATCTCATTATAATATGGAAGACCACATGACCCGTAGGCCTGCTCAGTCAACAGTCCTGGTGATAACTATTGCTTGGCATCTTCAAGGCCCCTGCTTCTCTCCATCCTTGTGCTTCTTCATCTTTAAGTCGTACTATGAAAGGGCCACTTCTTCAAATATAGAACTCTCCTCTCACAGCCCTTCAGTTAGATGGCTGCCCATGGCAAGATAGGACTTCTGGTCATTCTAAGAAAATGGCTTTTGGAGTGTGAAGCTTTCAATTTGCACATGCAGTAGAAAGAGAAAGCAAAAATATACGGACATGCATTTCTGGTTTTGCTGCTTCTACTGTAAAATACATATCAGTTTTCCATGAATTAGTTTAGGCAGTGCTTCTTTTCTAAAAAAATGTTTAGGGGTACTTTCATTTTACTACCCATATTGAAATAATGCCTCTCAATAAGGCCAAACTTAGATTCACAAACTGTTTAGGGGTATGTGTCCCCCTCCACCCCCCCAGAAAAAAGCACTGAGTTTAGGTTTGTTATGGATGGGGAAGGATCAATGGTGTGACCACTTAAAGTGTATTTCCTCCCACTGGGGAATACACACAGTATATGCATGAGATATCCTTTACCAACTCTGATAGCACACACAGGTGGACAGTACTAGCTAATACAGTGGTACCTCGGGTTACATACGCTTCAGGTTCCAGACGCATCAGGTTACAGACTCCACTAACCCAGAAAGAGTACCTCGCGTTAAGAACTTTGCTTCAGGATGAGAACAAATTGCGCAGCGGCGGCGCGGCGGCGGCGCGGCGGCAGCAGCAGGAGGCCCCATTAGCTAAAGTGTTGCTTCAGGTTAAGAACAGTTTCAGGTTAAGAACGGACCTCCGGAACGAATTAAGTACTTAACCCGAAGTACCACTGTAGTTGCCAAAACAAGGTCGCTGGGAAGCAGGAATGCTTTATTAGCATGATCAGAGGCTTGTAGATTATTTTTTTAAAAGCCTCTTGGAATTATGCATAATGGTGGAAGAATGTACAAAATACAGTCAATATATGTACATTCCCCAAGGCTGTACCGCCCCTTGGACTGGTTGTAAGTAGGAAGGCACACAGATGAAGGCTGGCTGGGAGCAGAATGAGATTGGTGTGGCAGTATCCTTTTCCCCCAGTGGACTAGCCTCCACAGCTCCCAGGATGTTGTGTAGATGGTGTTGTCCTCTGTAAATATTAGCAGCAGTATAGACTCCCACGACAGAACCCAAAACTGAAATAACTGTGTATGAACACACTTAGTGGTACACAAGAACCATAATTGGAATTCTGGGTGTCCTTTACTTTCCTTAAAAGCAGCCACGCAGACCCATGGACACCCCGTGCGGTGCTGAGAGAGAGCACTAGCTATCTCTTGGTGGTGCTATTATACGCATTTAAATCACACCCACCCCAAAGCTGCATTAGCCACAGGGAGAGATGAGCAGGTACCATACTGGATAAAGGACTGGTTCTGTAGCTGATGCAAACCATTTCAATTTCACACTGACACGTCTTGATGGACACTCTCACACTCGAGAAAGAATGGTGGAATTGTGTCTCTTTGGATTTCACAGTGAATGGATTGGATGATGCCCTGAGTCTGAATGATTGTCATAACTTGGATTGGACAATTTCCCATAGGTCCACCACAGCTCTCCCTGCCCCCTTTACCTCTCCACATCATGTGGTGTGGCCCAACAGCCTTAAGTCACCTGAACCCATTTGTTGCACAGGGACCTTTCTGCAGTGCACCTTTGAGTTAAAGGTTGATGGATGAATGTCCACTGTTGGATGGGAGATATACCTAGAAGGAGTATAGGCCAGCTAGGCTGGATCTAGACACATTAAAAACATTTCAGGAAAACACATTGTAAATCTCACATTGGTGAAAGACAGAACTCTACATTGCCATCTGGTGTCACAGTGTTATAGCACTTTTAAAATGCCTTTTTCTTTACTAATGTAGCTGAATCCCAAGTTTATGATTCTGTGAGTGTGGCCAAAAATAATCTCAAACTCTAGACTGTATTATTGTTGTAAAATATATTGCTAGATATCCAGCCTACTTGAATAATAGACTTGTGCCACTTTGCACTGCTGTGAGATAAGAGCTTAAAGGTGAAAAAATGTCAAGTGCATCAAAAAGAGAAACATGTCACATCATTATTTTTTTGCAATGCTTTAATATGCTGAATGCGCAAGAAAGTTTCATAAAGAGAAAGCAAACAGTGGGAAATAAAATGCATTTCCACATTCTCAAGAGTAATAGCAAAGGTTGGCAAAAATTACTATGGAGCTGAGACTAATTAGCTACATTTATAGCAGACATAGGCAAACTCGGCCCTCCTGATGTTTTGGTCAGTATCCCTGACCACTGGTCCTGTTAGCTAGGGATGATGGGAGTTGTGGTCCCAAAACATCTGGAGGGCCGAGTTTGCCTATGCTGGTTTATAGCTTTTTTTGGGGGGGAGATGATTTGCAGTTGTTGTGTGCAGACTGACCTCCCTGGCAAGGAAAGAAGCAGAAATTCATGATAGAGAGCAGGAAATGAAGAAAGTGACTGCTATGCTAGCGTTTTGTTTTCTGTTTTTGTCTTGGAGGGATGCCGTTGTCAGACGTTCCTGGTCTGTGCCTTCATTTCGTTCTACTTTGCTGAAATGAAAAGAAGAGAAAGCTGCTTAGAGGGTGAACATTCCTGTTTCAACTGTCTGGAAGCTGAATAGAGCTTGGGAGAAATTTCATTGGTTATGGATAAGTTGGGGGTTATCCTTGCTCTTGTCTGGATGGCTTCCTGCTTGGGTTGTCAACTAAGGGATGTAGACCCAAAGAAATCAATGGACTGAAGTTAGTTATGACTTAGTCCATCTTTATTGATTTTCTGTGTCATTGCATCTGCTCATTCTTTCTCTTCCATTCCCTTTCTTTGCTATCTTCTGGCTATCCCTATAGCTTTTGCCCTCTCTGGATTGTATCCCATGTTGTGGGAGAAAAGTTGGCCAAAATGATTTAGGGAACCTTCCTTTACCCAGGGGTTAAGTTAAACGCATCCATACGATTGTAAACATAGTAGATTTTTCCAAATGGGGGGTTGTGGGTTGAGAGAGATCAACCTCTCTGATGCAAAACATGAAGGAAAAGGGGAAGGAAGACTACACTTGTCATGCAAAATGGTAGAAAGAGGGGCAGAGACAGGGTTCGTAAGCCTGCCAGTTCTAGTAACACCCAGCAGTTACAAAGTGTGTGTGTGTGTGTGTGTGTGTGTTTTCAAGAGACTTTGGACCAAGGTAGGTCAGGATTATTCTTTTCTCAGAAATTGCAGGTGTTTGATAATAACTGTAGAGAACCAACAACGAAGTGCTGCTCAAAATGAGATAAATGTTGATGGGGGCTGAGATGGGGAGACTTCCGAGCTCTCAGTCCTTTACATTATGCTTCCTAAAGCAGGGGCATAGTGTGGGTTGCTGGCGCCTGGGATGGTAGACTGGGCAGCAGTCAGTCCCTTTGCTAAGCGACATCTAATCGTGGGAGTCTCTCCTTGCAAACTAGCCCCGACTGGTAGCAGAGATAAGGCAGAGAAACCCAAAGCCAGGACTGCCGCTGTGTCGCCTCACTCTCCTGTCCTTGCAGCGAGGCGCAACACACATGACTCTGGCAGTGCTTTCCTGCCTTCCTACGCCTGGCCCAGGGGCAGGGCACGCACTGGCATCCCTTTGCCTGCCACAAGAAGGAGGCACTGCCACTGCATTAGCCTCAAAGGCCTCAATGAGGGAGCCTGACGTGGGGGCAGCTGGTTGTGCCCCCTTAGAAATTTGTGCTCAGGCCCCTCCACCACTGTCCAGAAGCAGAGCACAAGTGCTTCACCAGCACTTTTTAAAAAAAAAACCAGATGTATTACTAAATGTATGGCATATCCCCCCATTCCCCGGGAACAGCTGGAGAATAAGCTCTTGATATCTATTAGTTTTTTTGGGTTGTTTTTTAATGAAAACAAATAAAACCTGTCGCTTACCTCCTCAGCCTCGGCCCCCGCGGCGGCCCCAGCGCCAACCTCGTCGAAAGCCTCGTCGAAAGCCACCTCGGCGGCCTCGTCCACCTCCCCGTCCACGCCTGGCATCTGCCACACTAGCCAGTCCTACGATCAGGATAAGTGCCAGCAGCCAGATCCATTTGAAGTTCATTTTTATCTGAAATCTTCACAGAATCTTCAACCCTGTTAAAGCATTTCATATCAAAGGTGTGACTCTAACAGAGGTTCAGTCTGCTTTTTTCCATAAAGAAAGGCCAAAAAAGGCAGTGTTTGGTTTGACATTTGTATAGCATTTCTGGTGTCCAAAAGTGCTGTTGTGATGACATCATTCCTCTAAGGTAAATCAGTATTATTATCTCCCACATTGTGAGGGCTAAGACTGAAAATGGCTTGCTCAAGTGGCAAGATTCAAACCAATGAAAATTCACATCTGAGTAGGTGCATGTACTCCTAGGGTATCACTAACCCCCCCCCTCATGTTTCAAAGCTTAGGAATGTGTCATTTGTTATGATGCTGGACTTTATAAAGTTTGGGTTTGATCCAGCAAGGCAATCCTAACTAATAAAGTTCTGAATCTTCTGTTTAAATATTATTAAATATTAATTGAATATTAGTAAATATTATTGAACTTGAGCAGCAAAGTTACACAAATAAAGGGAAGGAAACAGGTAGAAATACAAGATAAATGTACTTGAATGGAGGAATAAACTACAAGATAAAAATTCATCAACAGGCACAAACCCTTAAGCAGCTGTGTCTTATCGGCACAGATATCATAGCAAGCATGGTATATTTACAAAGCATGAGGGAACCTGGCTCTCCCAGGCTCTTTCTGCAGGCCACAACTCAATTCAACTGGCTCATGGAAATCAAGACTCCAACTCCATTCATGTGCATTCACACTCTCACACACCAGTTAGAGATGGATGAACCTGTCAGTTTCAGAGTCTCTCAATTTCTCATTTCGACAATCTCAGATTCAGTTTGCTGTATTGTGCCATCAACTTTGAATTTTCTTATAAGTTTGCATGAAGATTCATCAGAATTTCTCCTAACATCCCCCTTTTCGTATGCAGCTTGCCTCGTGTACACATTTTTCCAAGCAATATTCCCTAAGAATGCATTTTGGTCTGCTATTTTCACCATTATCTGCCTTTCTAAGCCCTTATGTGCACTTTCCGTACATCTTCTTTTGGTTGGAGAGGGTAACACAAAATTCACAGAAGGCTGAATTTAGAACAAAAGCCTCATTTCAGTTTGTGTATTGTGAAGTGGGTAGAGTTGCATTAAAATGAAAATCAAACCAAATCCCTTGCCTCCCAGTCGCTAGAACCACTTGACTTACCCCACCTGAATGAGATGATGAACAGCTCGATGAGAAACAGCAGGATATCCAAAATCAGAAGGGCAAGGCTAATTTATATGGTTCAAGAAGAGCTCCCCCTTCCTGTTGCAGCCCCTTGAGGTGAAACTGCTATCAATAATTGGCCAATGAAATAACCGTTTTTAATCCCAAAAGCCAAGAACTGGACGTTGGGTTCAGGAAACAATGCAAGTCAACAGACTTTTGTAGCAACATTTCAGTTGATTTCTTATATCTTTTATGTCAAAAAAATCCAACCGTTTTGTGGTCACAAGAAGGTGCTGCTTCCATGTGTTGCATTTTCCTATCTTGAGCAACAGGTAAATGAGACTTAGGACATTTTAACTGGCAATCTCGTTTATCTGGCAATGTTTCTTTTCTTTTTTGCCTGCAACTTTCTCATGCAAGGAGGAACACAACTTTAGCAGATTCATTGTGTATCCCTCTCATATATGCTCATTTTTAAAGGTATCCCCCTCATATATGCTCATTTTTAAAGGTATCCCCCTCATATATGCTCATTTTTAAGGCAATGTTTCCACAAAACCAATATTTGAATATCTACTTGAGAAGGCTTTTGATGGTGCTGGGCAAGGTTTATATTTCAGACTGGGCATTTTTTTTCTTTTAAGTCTATAATTTTTCTGTAGTCACTACAAGGAAGAGATTTTTTTAGGAGCTCAGTAATTTCTGTTCCTTTAGAACAGAATGTATGTATTTATTATATTTATTTGTCACTATGTACAGGGGACGCGGGTGGCGCTGTGGGTTAAAGCCTCAGTGCCTAGGACTTGCCGATCGAAAGGGCGGCGGTTCAAATCCCCGCGGCGGGGTGCGCTCCTGTCGCTCGGTCCCAGCGCCTGCCAACCTAGCAGTTCGAAAGCACCCTCGGGTGCAAGTAGATAAATAGGGACCGCTTACAGTGGGAAGGTAAACGGCGTTCCGTGTGCTGCGCTGGCTCGCCAGATGCAGCTTGTCACGCTGGCCACGTGACCCGGAAGTGTCTGCAGACAGCGCTGGCTCCCGGCCTATAGAGTGAGATGAGCGCACAACCCTAGAGTCTGTCAAGACTGGCCCGTACGGGCAGGGGTACCTTTACCTTTATGTACAAGTGTCTCAATGTGACTGACATAATAAAAGTAAGAAATAACAAAAAACATTAGACCCAAAGATAAAAGTATCAATTAAACAAGACCTCAAGTGCTACACACACACACACACACACACACACACCTCACTTAAAAGAATGAGGTCAATAAAAGTGGTCCTAGACATGAATAATTACCCTCCCAATATGGTAGAGTAGGGTAACCAATATGGAGGAGTACCACAAATCATGCAGTTGATTTTCCAGAACTTGGGAAAATCGCAGGGGTCAGCACACTCACAGTGAAATGGGTGAGCCTCAACATGGGAAAACCCCCTTTGTGATTCATTCAAAGATGATGTATTGATATGTCACTGAATATTTATTCCTGTCATTGTTTCATGGTTCATATTGCTTTTGTGGTAATGACTTGTTTTGATAGGAAGTATGGTCCATAAACAGGAAGGAGAGGGATGAGGAAGCAGTATCAGTGGATTCTACTTCAGACTTGTTCAAAGCTGCTTAAAATTTGAAATGCAGATGTGCTCCTTCTGGTCCTCAGGACAATGGGAATAGGAACATGTCCTTTTCTCATACTATGACCAAGTGTGTATGCTAACTTCATTAAAGGTAAAGGTAAAGGTACCCCTGCCCGTACGGGCCAGTCTTGACAGACTCTAGGGTTGTGCGCCCATCTCACTCAAGAGGCCGGGGGCCAGCGCTGTCCGCAGACACTTCCGGGTCATGTGGCCAGCGTGACAAGCTGCATCTGGCGAGCCAGTGCAGCACACGGAACGCCGTTTACCTTCCCGCTAGTAAGCAGTCCCTATTTATCTACTTGCACCTGGGGGTGCTTTCGAACTGCTAGGTTGGCAGGCGCTGGGACCGAGCAGCGGGAGCGCACCCCGCCGCGGGGATTCGAACCGCCAACCTTTCGATCGGCAAGTCCTAGGCGCTGAGGCTTTTACCCACAGCGCCACCCGCGTCGCGCTAACTTCATTATCTCCTCCCAAATGAGAAATAGCAGCTTCTAGCTCAAGGGGAGTACTTGGTGCATGAATATCCAATTTCTGAGCAATTGAGTTGCGCGTATGCTAAGTGCATAACAAACTTCCCTGTTGTATTCTGAACGTGTGCATCTCAGTCAGAGAGAATGGAACCAACTGATATGTCAAGAAGGAGTTTTCATTTCTGAGCTCCATTTCTGCTCTTTTCCTTTTAGTGATGGTGTCAGGAGGGTAACTGATATCCATTGAGTCTCCATCAAATCTCATGATTTATTTATCTATTTAATTAATATGTATACTGCCCATCATCCGAAGTTCACTGCATAAAAATACAAAAAGGGAACACAAAATACAGCATGAAACAAAAACAAACCATTAACCCCCCCCCTTTACTGGGATGTAGAAGGATGTAGAATTTTCATCAGGAAAGGCCTGGTTATGGAGAAAACTTTTTGCCTGGCCCCTAAAGATATATAAGGAAGGCAGCAGGTGAGCCTCCCTGGGGAGAGCATTGCACAGACAGGGAGCCACAGCTATGCCCATTCTAAGAAAGGGCTGTTAGAGGAAGAAGCATTTTGATCTGTGTTGACATTCAGAAAAGCATACTTAAGCCACTGAAGACAATACTTTGCTGGGTATCACAATTCATTATAAAATGGTGGACAAACAGCCACCTATGTTGTCCACAGGGGCACCGAACCAAGGGGGTGAAAAATAGTTATAATACTTACATTTGTACAGATACCTAATCAAAGTTAGAAATATTAAGTTGGGGGAGTGGCATGCTGAGGGTGTTGTATTACCTTGCCGTCATTAAGAGAGTGCAGGCCAGGAGATGAGATGTACAAGTTCCCAAGATGCACATGCAGTAGAAGCAAAGAAAGTAAAAATATACTAATATGCATTTCTGGTTTCCCTCCTGCTGTATATAGATATCAGTTCTCTGTGAATTAGTTTAGGGTGTTGTGGGGTGGCATTAATGGTGTGATCACTTAAAGTATATTTTTCCCCACTAGGGAGTGCACACTGTATATTTGTGAGAGAGCCTTTGCAGAACTCTAATAGCAAATGCAAGTTGAGAATACCAGCAAATGGTTACTAAAACAAGGTACTGGGAAACTTGAAGGAGTCATTAACATGTTCAGAGATCACTAGAATTACAAAGATTGTTTTTTAAAAGCCTGTTGGGGATTATTCCTAGGAGTTTATCTCAGTGAAGACCTTACTTGGAAAATCAATCCAACCCAGATGGTTAAGAAAGCCCAACAGACACTCCATCTCCTCAGAGTATTGCGAAAGAATGATGTCAATCAACATTTGATGATCTCCTTCTACCGGTCCACAATAGAAAGTGTCCTTTCATACTGCATCACGGTGTGGTACGCTGGTTTGACATCAACTGATAGGAAGTGCCTACAGAGGGTGGTGAATACAGCACAAGATATTATTGGCTGTCCCGTGAATCTGCTGTATGAAATTGCGGAAGAATGTTGCCTCAGGAGAGTGAGGAAAATTCTTAGGGATGATTCACACCCTTGCCGGCACTTTCTTGATCTCCTGCCCTCAGGCAGAAGATATAGACGCATGATTAGTCGCACCAACAGGGTAAAGAACAGCTTCTATCCGTGGGCTGTTAGGCTGCTGAATGAAAAGATAACAACAGGGTAACTGACTTTCAGGTTTGGTGGGTGTGCGTTAGTAAACAAGGGGAATTAAGACCAACAGAGCTGAGTGGGGGGTGCTTGTGTAATCTCACTGTATACAAGTTGTACAAGTGACAATAAAGTATTTCAATTTCAATATTCATAACAGTAGGAGAATGTGCAATATTTAGTTGATGTATGCACATTACCCAAGTCTTGTGGTAGATAAGGTATATTGACCTCTTCCTGAAAGGATTATGTGCATGTTTTCCATGAGGCCTGCTTAATGTGCACAACTGTGAGTTGTTATGCACAAAACCTCTCAACGTACATTTTCCGTATGATAGATAGCCCAAACAGCCCCAGAATGTTCCCTATAGCCATGATGCATACAGTTCGGTTTAAGTTGGGAAAGAAAAACAGAAAACTGAAGGGGGTGGGGGTGGCAGTGGTACGTCCTGGTTGGAGAGGATAGCTGGCTGGAACCCTGAACAACAGTGCTTCTGTTAGAAGGTGAGGATATCCTGTAGCATTTTGTTGTAGGTCCTATTGTCCTATCTTGGGGAGTGGGCTCTTAAGTTAAAATATTTCTGAAATTGTTTGACAGCCCTGCCCCATGGTATGAGAAGCCCACTCGCCTTTTGCATGCGGCGGCATTGCAGGACGGAGGATGCTTCACTGGGGCTCTGAGAGGGCTATTCAAACTGTCTGGGACCTTCCTGGTGGGCGGAGAGGGTATAAGCCTGCTCCCTGCTTTGGCAAATGGGGATGCAAGCTGGGACTTGGGCTGTGTGGAGGGCGAAGCCAATGGAGGGTTTTCCTCAGGTTGCCCATTTAAGCAGCCAGCACCCTGACCCCTGGTATGAGAATAGGGTAGTGATTGGATGATGCTTTGAGTCTGAAATCATCCCCGCAAAGCTGCATTAGCCACAGGGAGAGAGAGCAGGTACCATACTGGATAAAGGACTGGTTCGTAGCTGATGCAAACCATTTCAATCTCACACTGACAAAAGGATGGACACTCTCACACTTGAAAAGGGATGGTGGAATTTGGTCTCTTTGCATTTCACAGTGAATGGATTGGATGATGCTATGAGTCTGAATGATTGGCATAACTTGGATTGGACGATTTCCCATAGGTCCACCACAGCTCCCCCTGCCCCCGTTGCCTCTCCACAGCATGTGATGTGGCCCAACAGCTTTAAGCAGGGGTCTGCAACCTTTAAGACAAAAAGAGCCACTTGGACCCGTTTCCGAAGAAAAAAAACTGGGAGCTGCAAAACTCGTCATTATAAAAATAACTTTTTTCTCACTTT